CTGGGTGGGGCGCGGAGGTCTCCGGGGGGCGGGGCCGGGGCGGGGCCGGGGGCGGGGCGGGGCGTGGGAAGCTTCCGGACCGGGGGCGGGGGGGGGGGGGGCTGGAGGTGCCGCGGGCGGGGCGCGCGAGACCGCCGGGAGGAAGGGTCGGCAGATGGACAAAGGCTGGGGAGCGGAGGCAGGTCAGAGGGAGGGTGAGTCAGGGCGCAGCTCGGGAACCCTGACGGGCAACAGAAGGCAGTGCCCGTGGGTGACCGGCGGGGAGAGCCGGCCAAGACCAAGCAGCTCGGCGCCCATTTCCGCAGGGCCGCATCCCGCATCGGCCAGTTTAGCACAGGTCCATCTCCTGCTGGTCCTGGAAAGGCTGGGCAGTGGAAGGAAGCCACCAGAACGTCCACCCTGCCGAGCGCCCTCTAACTCCCAGACACGCTGGGCGGTGGGCGGGGCCCCTCAGAAAAAAGCCATGGGATGCGGTAAGCCCCGCATAGGCAGGATCTTCAAGTCTCTGGACCCTGACCGCTGGGCTTTTTCCTGGTCCTCCCCACCTCCTGCACCCGGGAGCCTTTATAGTGTGCGGGAAAGAAGCTTAGATTGGGAGAAGCGGAACATCTCAGAAGGGGCAGATGCCTCCAAAGAGGGGTCGCGGGCTCAGCACACTGGCAGGACAAGTGCCTGGGTGCTGGGGGGTCAGCCCAAGCACTATCTACATGGGCAGCTGGAGTTGCTAAGTTGGCCTCCAGAGGCTGCTGTAGGAGGTGACATGGGGTGGCTAGGTGTGGGAGCAGAGTAAGGGGTGGACAGCCCTTTTCCTGTGCATCTCTGGGGCCTTCCAAGCCTGGGAGGCAGCCCATGGAATGTGCTGGGACCTGACAGGGCAGGAGTTAGCCTCACTGGCTGCCTGGCCTTGGCTGGGTCTTCTAGGCTGGAGGAGCCACCCCAGGGTGCCCAGAGGGCCAGGTACTACTTCACACCCTGACCCTTGACCCCTAGCAGGAGGCCACTGGGTGCCAGTAGATCAGCAGGGCTCCCAGCTTGGGCCTGGCTTTGTAGCTAGCTTGGCTGATCCTGTCCTGGGACCTGTGACAAGCAGATGATGGATGCCCTGGGCCTCAACTGGCCCATCTGTAAATGGGGCCAATCAGCATTATCTCCACTGCAGTATGGGGCGTGGGGTGGGCTGGATGGCTCAGGGGACCAAGGCCAAGGCCTACCCAGCACCCCGGCCCTCCCTGCCTCTCCCCTAAAGACCAGGAGGCCCTGGCTTCCCTTCTCTTGGCCCAAGAGAGGCAGGGCAGAGCGAGGGCAGGGACAGTGTTAAGAGGCCAGACCTGGGCTGGTCTGAGGGCTGACCCAAGCCCTGCTGGCTCCTTGAGGAATTCTCAGCAGCAGGTGCCCTGGGCCAGGAAGTATAGGCCCTTGGGACAAAGAAGGTGGGACACCCCCCCTCCTTTGGCTTTAATTACCCCGTGGGCCTCATTTACCCTTGGCTGCCAGGGGAGATGGGCACTGACCCCAGGGCAGAATCCAGGGCCTGTGGGCTTGGTGCTCTTGGGACCTGGAGCTGAGAGAGGTCCCCTGGGGCCTTGTCCTCTCTGGTCTCATCCACTGCCCAGGATCCACCTCTTCCTCCTCAGTTACCATGGCGGGGGTCCAGTGGGGCCCTGGGACCTGCACCCCAGCTCACTTCCACAGAGGGACTGAGAGTGACCCCTACTGGGCAGGGGCCACCCTTCTCAGGAAGCCCTGCCCCTTCTCCTGGTCCCTGATCTCCCCCTGGGCCTGCAACAGGACCAGCCACTTTGAAGTGCAAGTGGGGACATGGGACACCTCCCATAAACCCCTCTTGTCCTAGCTCTCCCTAGGTCACAGCAAGACAGATGTCAAGTTGAACTTGAAGAGGTCCTCCTGAGCCCTCTGCTATGGTGACAGGAAATCACCTCTAGGACTGACACTCACACTGTGGAAACCCATATTCACCAAAAAATATTTCCGTCTTTTGAAGGATGTACCCTTGGGTTGGGCAGAAAGAGCCCAAGTGTGTGCAGGTGTCAGGATGCCCACCCTGCAGAACTCCTGTGCACTCTGTCCCCAGCTGAGAGGTGCCCTCCCTGGAGCTGTTTTCAGAACCACAGAGGTCAGCTGGTCAGGGCTGTCTCCCCTCCCTGCCAAGGAGCAGAGGTCTGTAGCTGATGTCCTCACAGTTGCCTGAATGGGCTCCTCATTCTCTCAGGGACAAGGCTGATCTTGGCCCAGCACTGATCCCCTGGGGTCCTGACTGGCAGGGGCTGGTCAGCCGGTCAGCCAGACCCCAGCCCTGAGCCATCAGTGGTCCATGTGCTATCTGGCTCCCCAATATCCTCCTCAATTTTTTTCTTTTCTTTTTGTGTGGTGCTGGGGATTGAACCCAGAGCCTTGTGCCTGCGAGGTAAGCACTCTACCAACTGAGCCAAGTTCCAGCTCCCAATACACTCCTCAGTTTCTTAGGGACTGGTTCTACCATTGGCCCCCTGCAAATGGGACCAAGACAGTGGCTGGTCGGCATGACCAGCCCCAGAAGGTGGCACAGGCTTCTTGTCTCTAAGCGTGACCTGTGGTGGCAGGCACACCAGGGTGCACGCTCATGGTGCTTGGCAGCCTCTACCCCATCATGTGGCAGAACAGCTCGACATCCATAGGGTGCCCGGTAGTGCCTGCTGCCTGTGTGAGGGCAGCTGAGACACTTGGGCTGCCTGTTGCACATGTATGGCCTTGTAGCGTGGCTGGGCCATGGGCTCTGCTCACCACACCTGCTGGCCTGTGTGCGCGAGCAGGCAAGGCTGCCTGGCTGGAGCCAGGCACGGCGGCAGTTCCAGGTTTCAGGGGTGCCAGGCAGGCAGGCTGCACGAGACAGTTGCCTGGGAAACATTGCAGGATTTGCTGGGCACATAACAGGCGTTCAGGCCCCCATGAGGCCCGGGTGAGGGCGTGCCCCAGCATCCACAGGCTAGAACCTACCAGTGGTCAGCAGTCTAGATTCAGGGTTGGGGTGCAGCCTCTAATCCCCAACTCCAAAGGCCCCCAAACCAAGCGGCATCTGGGGAGGGACTGGCCCTATTCCAGAGCTCCCATTTGAGCCACTCTTGGGGACAGAGACCCCAGCCTGATCACCTCTGTTCACAGCAGTCTTTCAAACCTTCAGAGAACTGTCACTCCCTGTTCAAACCCTCCCATGGCTGACCAGTTCTCCAGCCCAGGGACTCTACCACCCAGGTGACAGCCCACGCAGGCCTCAGGCCCTGTTCTGACATCCCCTCCCCCAAATAACCCCCCAGGCCTCCACCCTGTTGCCATTCTGGGCTCTCCTGCAGCACAATGGGAGTGCAGGGTAATTCCAAGAGGCTCCTGTGCACTCTGTCCCCTATCATGTCCCCACAAGTGGAAGTGGGGACCTGGGGGTGCCTTCCTTTGGGGAAAAAAAACCAAGTGGAGACAAAGCTTTGGAATGTCGTGGAGCGCCCCAGAGGCGGTGTGGAACCCGCTGCCTTTGTAAGGAACACCTGCTGAGGGCAGTCCCTTGACTGAGGCCGAGCCCCTGTACCTTCTCGGCCCTGCCCGGGACACAGGCTCCTAGCAGTGCTTTAGGTGGACACAGGACTTAGCACATGGGCGGCCAGGCCGGCTGCACGTGTTGGACTCTCTGTTTCTTGCAGCACTGCAGTGGAACCCCGGGCCTTGTGCAGGGTAGGTGATGTTCCCTACTAGGTGGGGCCCCTTGTTTGACCTTCTGAGTTGCCCACTGCGTCCTTCGCAGGACACTACGTGAACGTCCCCCTTGCTGCTTCCTGTACTGGAAAATCAGGCCAAGGGTGGCCCGGCCCCTGCAGGGGGCTCCAGAGACCCGGGTCGCCCGTCCAGTGAGCAACCCTGGGAGGTGCATTCCAGAAGGACCCAGAACACCCCTGGGCCTGGAAGTGAGAGGGGTCAGGTCTTGTGACTGCATTTGAAGACTTGGTCACTTGAGAAAGTGACCCGAAAGCAGAGGCTCACACTGGCACCCCTCTTCTGCACCTGTGAGCTCCTTCATGGTCTGTGGAGAACCAGGCTGGGGGGAGTCCTGCAAACCTGGCACCAGTGCACACCCCAGGACCTTGACTAGAGCCGCTCTCCTTCATGCTTTGCACCACTCCTTTCTCCCTGGCACCCAAGAAAGAGGTGCCTGTCACATGTGCTGTTCCTGGCCCCAGAGACCACGAGCCTCAGTGTGTCAGGTCCCTTTGAACAGTCTCCTGCCTCCCAAGGAGGCCCCTTCTAGAAAGCCCCCCTCCTCCCTGGCGACCCCTGGTGTGGGCATCTTCCCGAGAGCCTGATGACTGGCCCACAGCGCCCAGTGTCTCCGTCAGAGCTAGATGGCCTCCTGTGGGCCCCAGCCCCTGCCTCCAGCGCGCTGCCCCTGGAGTGACCCCCACGATCAATGGCACAGCAAGCGGTTGCACAGGGGTGCCTGGGCGTCTGCTGCCACCACGTGGTGGACTGAGGGGGTGCAGGAAGGGGACGGGGGAGGCCTCGGGGCTGCCACCGCCGGCACCGCCTCCCGCGCCCCGCGGGGTTGGCCGCCTGGACTTTACTTTCTTCCCGTGTAGGAGACGGAAGGGCCTCCCTCTTTTGTCAGGAGAGGCTCGTGGCAGAGGAGGGCGCCCGCGCCTTGTGTACTTATGGCGCCCTCCTGGAGGCAGGGGCTGCCGGAAGCGGTGGCCAGGTGGCCGGGCCAGGGCGGCCTGGCCGCTGGACGTGTTAAGGGAGCGGGACGCGGGTGGGACAAGCCCTTTGGCCTGCGTCCTGGGAAGCTGGCACCGCGGTCCGGGAAGGGGGCGCCCACCCGGGCTCCACGGCAGCTTGGCGGGGGCGACTCCGCTGGGTCCCCAAGGCTGGGCTCCAGGCGCTTTGGGCTGCGGCCTCCTCGCCGTCGCCCCCGTCGCTCCGCGGGGTCCGGCCGGGCGGGGTCGACAGCCTCGGGCCCGGGCGTGGTCAGGTCCGGGGCGGGGTCCGCGGCCCCGGCATCTCACTTCCGCCGGACGCACGCGGGCAGATGGAGGCGGCGCGGGGGAGGCCGTGCGGGAGGCTGAGCCGCCGGAGGCCGCGCTCGGGGGACGGGTGAGGTCAGGACGCGCGGGAGGACTGGGCCCCGGGGCGGCGAGCTGGCCGCTCCTCCACTCTGCGACTCTGCATCGCGGAGCCGCCTCTGGGTGCGGGCTTCCTGTCCCTCATCACCGGCCGCGGTCCTTCCTCCCCAGCGCCTCCCCGGGCCCCTGCCTCCACCCACACTCCTCCCGGCTGACCTCCACTGTGCCCCCAGGCCTCCCGGCGGCGGCCCCTGGTTTCTCCTGGCGGGCAGCGAGAGCCAACCCTGGGCCTTGCTGCTGCGCATAGCGAGCTCGGATCAGGCCCTGGACGGCGACCTGCTGCCCCCCCCTCCCGCTTTCCCCAGTCAGGTGTGTTGGCCGGAACCTACGGGGGTTCTCCATCAGAGCCAGACGGGTTGTCCAGGCTCAGGAGGGCCCAGGTGCCACTGGGCATGGCCAACCACCTCGTTTTGCAGGAACCTGGGCCTGACCCCGAGCATACCTTGCCTCCTGAGACCTTCACCGTTGGACCCAAGGCCTTTTCTTGGACACCCTTTCCGTCTGCCCTGGGGGGCCTGGGCTGCTTCTCCTGGGCTGGGTGTCACCCAGAGTCCCCCACTGGGTCCCTGAAAGGACACCCTGAGCCTGATCCTTGCGGGACCCCCAGCGTCAAGGAGCAGCTGTCTGTGGAGGGGCCCCCAGCCCTGCAGAGCTGCCCAATGTGCCAGAAGGAGTTCAGCCCCGGGTGAGTCCCCCACCCATCCTGCAGGCCCAGGGACCCGATCCCTTTGTGAAAAACCACACCTGCTGAGAGGCTGAGAGGAGGCCTGGGCCGCTATCACCTTTCAAAGCCACATGCCACAGATGGAAGGTTAGCACAACCCAGTGACCCTGCGGGGCTCCCTGTGGCTCCTGCTGTGCAGGTCTGGGGTCTACCTGCTGTCAACCTTCTCGGGCTCTGTGTGCCGTGGGAGGAGGCCAATGAGCACTGACCCTCTGCCCAGGTGTTCCAGGTCACAGGGGACGTGCAGCATTCCTGGCCCAGAGGGGGCTTCTAGGACCAGCCAGGCTATGGGCTGTTGGTCTCCTGGAGAAGTAGCCACATGAATACCTTCCAGGGCCAGTGGGGTTTTTAGAACAAAGGCTTTGGTTTTTTTCTGCCAGATGCAGTCTTTCAGGACTGTGTCTCCCAGACATAAAAGGGGCTGGGGATGTAGCTCAGGAGTAGAGCACCCCTGGGTTCCTTCTCCAGTAACCAAAAGAAACATAAATTACTATATTTTTATGTCTTTTTTTTGGTACTGGGGATGACACCCGGGGGTGCTTAACCACTGAGCTACATTCCCAGCCCTTTTTATTTATTTAAAAATAAAAATTTATTTACTTAATTTCTTTAGTTGTCAATTAACTTTCATTTTTTAAAACATTTATTTATGTGAGGTGCCAAGAATCGAACCCAGTGCCTCACACATGCTAGGCAAGCGCTGCAGTGCTGAGCCCCAGCCCTTTTTATTTTGAAACAGGGCCTTGCTAAGTTGTTCAGAGTTTTGCTAAAGCTGACGAAGGCCTTGAACTTGTGATCCTCCTGCCTCAGCCTCCCTTGTGGCTGGGATTACAGGCGGTGCCACAGGTCTGTGCCTCTTTTTCAAGTAAGGGGGTGGAACCTCTTCTTTTGCTAAGATGCAGTCCATGAACTACCGCTTTGTCCTGTTTCCTGATGGACCAGCTGGTTATCTGTGGTCTTTGGCCCTCCTGTTTGGTCTTATTGAGGGTGTCCAGCCATGGGCCTGGGGTCAGGATGGTAGTGTTCAAAAACACATCAGGCTGAAGTAGAGCTCTGCGGGGCAGATGTCCAGGGTACATGGCCTGGAATCCCCTGGACAGGATGACCCAGGTCCTCACAGAACTGTCTGGGGAAGGCAGGCATGTGGAGAAGGGACTGGTTCCAAGGACAGGCTGAAGCCCATGGTCCCTAAGGGGCTGAGGGGCTCCTGGGGACTTTAGGGTACTTTGACTGGGGGCTGCCAGTAGAGAGAGCCACTGGTGGTCACCAGGACCTGGGAGCAGAGGGGAGCTGTCTCGGGGGTCAGGTTTGGCGAGGGAACTTCCTGTTCTGGTCAGGGGCACTCAGCCTTTGGGCCTTGATGTCCCCTTGTCATAAGAGGTAGTTGGTCATTTTGGTCTCCTTGGTCTGTGACTCTGAGGTGCAGAGAGGTGCCTTTCTGGCCATCTACCTGTCACATACAGGCCGTGTCCTGGGAGGTCTGTAGGACAGGGAGCAGGCATCGAGTTGGCCAGCAGCATGTCCAGAGGGTCCTTAGGACCAGCGCCAGCTGCACAGATCCGAGAGAGAGCCTCGGGTGCATGCCCAGGCCAGGTCCTGCTGGAAGCCACCTCAGAGTCCTGCTCTGAGGGGTGCCATGGGAAGTGAAATGGAGGCTGTGATGGCCGCACAGATGGGGTAGGGGAGCCACGGGGAGGGGCACAGAGCAGAGCCCAGGGGACCACGGTGCTCGCCGCCCCACTCGGAAGCGCCTGGTCTGAGGAGGGAGGCTGTGGGAGCCTGAGCTGGGTGGCAGGAGGCAAGGGGACACTCTGCTTACAGCCTGGTGGACTCTGGGCCATACAGGTGGACATCTAGTGTGTTGCTTCAGGGGGACACTGGCCATGTGGCTTCCGGGAAGACCTGGGCTCAAGTCTTAGTTGAAGCCACTGCTCGGCTCTATTGAGCACCTCTGCCGGGCCACCCTCTGGGAGTTGCAGCTGGGACCCACTGCCACGAGCTCCTCCTCACCGTCCCTCCCTGGGCTGCTGGTGGGGTGATCACTGAGCATGGAGCGCGCCTGCTGGTCCGGGGGCCTCCCTGAGCTCTCCGGCTCTGGTGGGTTCCCTCCTGCTGCCCCTCCCTGGGGCCAGCGTTTCAGAGCCGCCTCCTCCTGGATCCTGGAGTCCAGGGCAGGCCCCGCCCAGCTGACAGTCCTGCATGGGGCTTGCTTCTTCCACGGAGAGACCATTCTCAGTCAGGCGCAGTGGCGCCCCCCCTGTAATCCCAGTGGCTCTTGAGGCAGAAGGATCCTAAGTTCGAGGCCAGCCTCTGCAACTTAGCAAGGTCCTAAGCAACTTAAACCCCATCTCAAATAATAAGGAAAGGGCTGGGGATGTGGCTCAGTGCTAAAGCACCCTGAGTTCAGTCCCTGGAGCCAAAGAAAGGGACACAGATCCCAGGCCTGAGCTGGCCACCTTCTGCCTGCTGCCTCCGCTGTGTGAGGTTGGCGAGGTGCCTGCAGGTGCTCCTGCCTTCCTGCTCAGGGGGCTGGCTCTTCCCTGACAGTGCTCCTGGAAGATCTGCCCCCCAAGTGCCTGACCTCCTGCTGCGGAAGGCTAGGGGGGCAGGCTGCCCATCTCTGCTGCTGTCCACCTGTAGATGGGCTTTCGGGGTCAGCCCCATGATGAGTGCACTTTGTGGCCAGGCAGGCCTTGAGTCCCCTGGGGCTGGGGCAGGAGTCCAGGGCCTTGTGGCCTCTGGCTGGAGGCAGTTCTCAGGCAGTGGGCAAGGTTCCTGAGGTTGAGGTCCCTGCCTCTCATTCTGACCAGCTGTGGAGAAGGCCCCTGGGCTCCTCTCCAGCAGGACCTCTAAGGAGCTCTGGGGGAGGCGTGGAGGTGCCTGTCCTATGGCCAGTACTCTAGGAAGGGGCTGAGTGACTGTGTCTGTTCTCTCTCGCAGGCTGGCCCAGCTGGACGTGGACAGCCACCTCGCACAGTGCTTGGCAGAAAGCACGGATGATGTGGCATGGTAAACCACCGGTGTCCAGGGCAGAGCTGCTGAAGGGGGGTCCTGGCCTGGCTGTCCTCACTGACCTTCCTCTCTGCTCCTGAACATGCACATTAAAACTGGGGTGTGGGCTCTCCCGCCTGGCGTGCTAAAGCTGGGACGCTGGCCTCCTCTGTTTCTGACGTGGGAGTCGGGCAGAGTCCTGACCACTGTGGAGAGTCCGTGGCCCCGGCCCCAGGTGGGGAGGCTGTGCTTTCCCCCGAGCTGGGCACCTCTGCCCGCGCCACCTGTGTGCACTCAGCTGGGCCTGCTCAGAGCAGCATGCCCTCCCCGCCGTGAAGCCTGATGGCCTGTGCCAGAGTGCCAGGCAGCTTGTCGCTGCTGGGACCAAAGGACCTAAAAGAACAACTTGGGGCAGGGAAAGGTTTTATTTTGGCTGCGGTTCAGAGGCTTGGTCCATGTCCGCTCAGCCCCTTGCTCTGGCCTGAGGCGAGGCAGCGTGCCGTGGTGGAAGGGCATGGGGCAGGACCCCGCTCCAGAGAGGGCAGCCCGGAGGGAGAGGGGGAGAGCTGCAGGGGAGACACACTGCCCAGGGCAGCCCCAGCTCCCACCCAGGCAGCCCATTCGAACAGGGTGGACAGTCAGGCTGTAGCTCTGTCCAGCCACCTTACCCCTGGATGTTCCTGCATTAACACAGGAGCTTAGGCCCCTCGAATCCAGACCAGAGCACACAGCCACACTGTTGACCCCCTGGTGTGCTCACCTCCACAGGCAGGTGCGGTGTCACCAAGGGTGGCCGTCACAGGCCTGGCGGTCGCAGCCCAGGCTTCACGGGTTGAGGTCCTTGCCCTGGGTGTTATGTGTGAGCAGTGGGCCATGATGTCTCCAGGACAGAGAGCTCCCCGGGGAGCGTGTCCTGAGGGCAGGAGAGGTGATGGCACCAGGGGCCCTACGGCCTCCTTGCTGAGGGTCAGTGGTTCCCCAAGCATGGACAGGCCTTTTGTTTGGTTTGGTTTTTGATACCGTGGATTATATCAGGGTGCTCTACCACCGAGCCACACCCAGCCCTTTCTTTATGGGGAGACAGGGTCTCACTGATTTGCCGAGTGGGCCTGGGGCTTGGGTCTTCAAGCCTCAGCCTCTGACTTGCTGGGGGGACAGGTGCGGCCACTGCACCGGCTTACCAGTGACATTCGTTCAGGGGATTGGGCCGCTTTCTCCCGGGGCCTGGCCCAGGGGTTCTGAGGATCCAGGTTTTGGTGCTCAGCAAGGCACAGGATCCGGTGGGACAAGCAGGACATGAAACCCAGGGTGACATCCAGAAATCGGGATTTTCCTTTAAAAAAATAGCTTTGAACAAGCTTTGAAGGCACATACAGGGAGCGGGCAGCTCAGGGCCAAGGGTAGGCCAGGCTGCATCCTGGGGCACTCGGGGAGCCTGTCGAAGGGCCACTGTGTTGGGGTTCTGCAGAGCAAGCCTGGGAACCGTGCGAGGACTCACGGGAAGGTTGGGATTGGCTCTTGTCCTCAGGCCAGGGCAGGCAGTGGGGTCCAGTCTCATGGCCCCAGAGCGGGGCAGGGAGCCCGAGGCACTGTCCTGAGTGGGAAGGCTGCTGGCAGGAGCTGGAGTCCCAGGGCTGTGTCTGGCCAGGGGAAAGGGCATCCCAGCCCAGTAGAGGCACAGTGGCGTCCTCTCCGGTCCTTATCTGCTGGGCCCTCAGCGACTGGACTGGGTGGTGTGCAGGGCAGGAGGCAGCCTTCTGGGGCCTTCCTGCCACGTGGACGGCCTGCAGGGCACAGCTTCCCGGAGTCCAGCCCTCAACGCAGGCACTGCCCTGCTGCCCTGTCCTCCCCTGGTGGGGAGGGGCGGGGAGGGACATGGGCGGAGCATGGGGTTCCAGGGCTGGCATGTGCTGTGCCCTCCTCCAAACCCAGGGAAGGCCTCAGCTTGGCCCAGACAAGGCGCAGTGTGGACTAGGGGAGGGTGCAGCCGGGAGAGTGCGGCCCACTGGCAGGATCACGAGGGTGAGGCCACGCGTGTGCGCGAGGGGACACAGGGCACCGGACCCTCTGCTCAGCGGGGCTGTGAACCAGAACTGCTCTAGGAAACAAAGTCCACCTGAGGGGACGGCCCCACCCGCTTCCCAGAGGGGCCTCGCACACGAGCAACCACCACGAGACGAGCGAGCGCTTCGTTCAGTCTTTAATAGATGCACAGGAACACGACGCCGTGGCCGTGCGGGCAAGGACAGCGTCTGCGGCAGAGCTGGCACGCAGGCTCTGCCCAGGCGTGCGGGACGCTTCACCATCACCAAGGCACCAGATGTCATGAACAATTTCCAAAAGCTGTGCTCGTGTCTGGACTGTTCGAAGGGGAGGCTTTTCCAAGCCAAGCTTTGATACATCCCTCACTTTCTTTAATTTGTAAAACAAATTCCTACACATAAAAACGCCCTCTCCCATGAGCTCAGTCTCACCGACACCTGTCCGCAAGCAGCTGCGCTGGCGCCTGGCACGTTTGGCAGCGTGGCAGTGTCGGAGTGAACACCCTGAACCGGGCAAGCCAGGGGCGAGGGGCTCCCAGAGGTGGCTGCCCCCGGACAGGCGGACTGCATGGCCCTCAGACCAGGGCTCTGGGGCCGCCGTACCCCGGGGGGCTGGAGCTCTCCTGGGCCCCACAGGTGGCCTGGGCCTCTGTCCCTGGAGGGGGTCTCACTGGCTGAGGCTGGGAGTGCTGCAGGGCCACCTGGGAGCCCCAGCTGGGGTGGGGTCAGCTAACGCACCAGGGCAGCCTGGGAGCCGGAAGCACTCCGCAGGCCTGTCCAGCACCTGGACCCAGTATGAATTTGTGACATGTTCAGTGCCAGCTGCTGCAGTGGCCTCAGGAACCTGAGTGTGTCAGGGGGACTGGTCTACCCAGGTCTCTGTGCAGCAGGGGCAGTGGATCCTGCACCTTGCACTTGTGATTGTTTCTAACATGACCTCCTTGGGAGGCCCCCGGGGTGAGACTGGCCTCCACACTGCCTTGTGGGGAGCCAGAGGGCGTATGGCGATGTCCCCAAGGCACGCCAGGATAGCTCTTAGGGCACAGAGCCCCCTGGCCACTGCAGCACAGGCCTCCCACACACTGCCCAGTGGCTGGGGGGCTTAAGAGGTGGCTGGCACACCGAGGGGCCAAGGACTTGGCTCACCTCTTTCTAGAAACCTGGGAAGCAGCCCTGACCTGGCCATGCAGCACTGCCCTCCTGGAACCAGCGCTGGCTCTCGGGGCTGGCTGCTGACCGTAAGGCCAGGGTCCCTCGCACCGTTTTTAAATCTCTGAGAGTATCACGTGACTGATAAATTTTCCCAAAACTCTTGACACAGAACACAAGAATCCTGGAGGCACTGGTCAGCGTCTTCAGACACATTTTGTGCAGATTTCGTTTTCAGATTTTATTTTTCCTTTTTTTGGTCTACTGGTGCTTTGGTGAGCGACGTCTCAGCATCTCTGGGATCCCAATTTCCCCACCGGGTCCATGGAGCGGGCAGGTCAGCTCTGCCGCTCTGGCCAGGGCATCAGGACCAGCCCACTGCCGCGGCTGGTCATGCGCGTGGTGGGGGAATACTTGTAAATGTCACATCAGGAACTTACCGGGATCTAGAAAACGTTCCGAATCGGCAAAGGTTCCTTGTGCAGTGTACCCCTGCAGGCACTTGGACCCCGTCCCCCACCCACATCCCGACTGCTCCCAAGCTCGGCTCCTCCTCACATCTGGGCTGCATCTGCAGGTGCCACTCGGAAAAAAGGCATCAGAGGGACGCTGGACACCATCGGGACATTTTATTCCTCAGGACACAACACTAACTCTCCTGGAGGAGCACGTCAGTGCATCGAGTTCTGCTTCTGTGGAAAATGTGCACCTTCGAGATGGCGAGTCTCCGCCTGGGTAGCGCCGCGGTGGTCCACCACGCAGGTCCAAGAAGCCATTCCCCAGCACGAAGCCGGCCTCTCCAGGCCCAGATGCAAGGGGCTGCTCTGCCCAGAGGCGCCTGCCTGAGGGGATGTCTCCCTCCAGTCTCGGGCCAGCGTCCCTCCCTGGCTGCCCAGAGCCTCGTGCCCAGCCTGGCATGCATATGCTGTGGTGAAGGATGAGGTCACGGGGTCGTTCACAGGTATGTCCACGGCAGAGAGGCACGAGGCCTCACACGGACTCCTCGGTGGAGAGCAGAAGCGGGTTGATGTACTCGAAGCCTTCGAACTCAGACTGGTCGATCCTCTTTATGACGTCCCTGGAAGCACAGAGAAGGGGTGGGTGGGGGGCCGGGGGCCTGCTCCCTTGGGTTCTGCTGAGACCCCCTTGCCAGACCCATGGTAGAAAGGGAGGCTGGGCGGGAGCCGAGCTGGAAGCAGCTGGTGCCCTGCACCTCAACTCGGCAGCCCAGGAGGGCGTCCTGACCCCTGGGCTGCCCCAGCACTTACTCATCATCTGGGGTCAGCTGCACGGGCTCGCTGGTGAACTGCGTGTCGAAATTGTCCAGGCCGTAGTCATCAGTGATCTGCGGCTGGAAGGGAGGCAGGGCCTGCTTCTTCTCTAGCTGGGGAAAACCAGGCGAGGAGCCTCAGATCAGTGCGGTCTCCACCCCCAGATTAGTCCTCGGCACTCGCTCAAACCACAGAATGAAATGGGAGAAACTCTGCTTTTCGGTATGCCTTGTAGATGGATGCCGAACACCCCTTCTTCTTAAAACAAAACCTACAGCTGGGCGCAGTGTCACACGCCTGTGATCCCAGCAGCTTTGGAGGCTGAGGCGAGAGGATCTCGTGTCAAAGCCGGCCTCAGCAAAAGTGAGGCGCTAAGCAACTCCATGAGACCCTGACTCTAACAAAATACAAAACAGGGATGGAATCTGGCTCAGTGGTCAAGCACCCGAGTGTAATTCCTGGTACTCAAAAACAAAAACACACACACAAAAAACATTCTCTCACCCATTCACTAACTCACCTAGGAGAAAATATCCAACAGCAGAAAAATTCAACTTGAGCTCAAAAACACTGGAGGCCTGAGCTAGGCAGGCCAGTCCCGGGTGGTGAGGCGCCCCACCCCAGGCAGAGACCTCCACGCTGGCCGGCCTTGCCTGAGAGCCACTGCCACCGAGCTGGGGAATCCGGGCTCAGGTTTCCTTCCCTTATGTCTTAGAAGCACAGGTGCTGGGAACCCGGCAGGGCCCTGCCTGTGCTCTAGTCCACAGTGACTGCTGAGCAGGGAATGCGCACCAGGCAGGAGGGCCCCTGGTCCCCAGGCAGGCCCTGCACCCAAGCAGCACTTACCCCTGGCCACAGTCAATCAGGCTCCGCTAGCTGGGGTGTGGAGGGAGCCGAGAACTGCAGACACCAGGCCTGGGGCCTCGACCTCCGCTGCTATTCACACACTGCTAGCCAGGCTTCTGCCACAGCCACAGGGACATCCCCTCCGGGACTCCTCTTCCTCAGACTCAGCCTTCCCTCCCTCCCTCCCTCTCTCCCCCATGGACTCACCCATTCACTCACTAATTCACTCACCCGATCATCAATTCATTCACTCACCTGTTCATTCATTCACTCACCCATTCATTAATTCCCTCACCCGTTCATTCACTCACTCACCCATTCATTAATTCCCTCACCCATTCATTCACTCACTCACCCATTCATTAATTCCCTTACCTGTTCATTCATTCACTCACCCATTCATTAATTCCCTCACCTATTTATTCACTCACTCACCCATCCATCCATTAATCCATTCACTCACTGTCCACCAACTCATCCACTCATTGATTCTCTCACCCATTCACTGACTCATTCATTCATTCACTCCCTTCAGTCATTGATTCATTCACTCCCTTCTCACTCCCTCCAGCTCATCCACTCACACTCACGGGTGCTGCTCTCCTGTACAGGGCCAGGCTTGTCCCTAAACACTGAGCTCCAGCTGTGAGAGGCCCCATCTCTCCTAAATGGAGCTGCCACCTGACAAGTCCAGGAGGTCTGCCACGCTGGGTCAGCGCCCTTCCTTGCCAGGTGTGTAGGGGGACAGGGATTGAGAGGAGACAGACTCAAAGCTGGCCCTTTGAGGCACTGGACCCCCCAGCTACTCCCAGAGCAGCTTGGGCCACATGGCAGATGACCTGGTCACTCTGGACCAGCTGTCACCTCCGTCTCCCATGGAAGAGCAGAGTAGGGCTAGTCAGAAGGCTCTCCTGCACTGGGCGTGGGGGTGGCTGATCCTAGCCAGGATGGCAGAGCGTCAGTCACTCTGCCAGTAAACAAGCCCATCCACCCGCCTTGGCTGGCCTCCCCCGCTCCCTGTCCTGGAGCCCAAGTTGGGGAGGAAATCAGGGTGCTAGAGAGGTGGCCTTCTCAGAGACGGGCCTCCTGCAGGGGAGGCACAGCTGTGGGGACAGGACTCTCCCAGCCACCCCCCGCCCCAGGATCGCCCGTTTGTCAGTATGAGTTTCAGTGTTTCATGATAAGGAAGTGTAAAAGGGGGCATTTCCTGAATTGTTTTCTCCATCTTAGGTCTGGCTGCTTGAAAGGACCGAGATACCCAACAGGAGTCAGAACGGGAGCCGGGTGCTGGCCCTGCCCCGGCCTCTCTCTGTGGAGGGCGAGGCTGCCTCGCTCTCCCTTTGAGAGTGAACACAGAGGCCAGTATTACATCTCTCTCTCTTGGCCACCCTGGCCCCTCTCAAGTGATATATATATATATATATTTTTTTTTTTCTTTAAATATTTATTTTTTAGTTTCCGGCGGACACAACATCTTTGTTTGTATGTGGTGCTGAGGATCAAACCCAGGCCGCACGCATGCCAGGCGGACGTGCTACCGCTTGAGCCCCAGCCCCTCAAGTGATATTTGTTGAGCATAGGTTGGTGTGAGCCATCATCCTAGGCCACAAGGACAGAGCAGTGGACGAAGCAAATTCTGCCTTGGAGCCCCCAAGGCCCACAACCACGGGGGCAGAAAGGACACAGTAGGCCAGGCTGTGCTTTGCTGCTGAGGGCCATGGGCCAGGGAGATCAGCCTGGGAACAGCCACGCAGACCGCGCCCTGCCTGAGAGGCCCTGTGGCAGGGGCACGCCCTATAGGCTGGGGGACTCGTGGGGCCCTGAGAGGCACAGGTCCCTGGACAGAAGCTAGGCTGGGTCTATGATGTGGGTGGGGAGGGGGGATGTGGGCAGAGGGCCGGGTGGGTCCTCTGTGCCGCGGAGCCCCTGGCGTGACTGGGCATGTGTCTGTGTGAGTGCATGTCAAGATGCACCTCCACAGGGATGGAAAGGCTAACGGCTGATGTGGTGACAGCCATGACCTGCAGGGGACAGCCACCTCGGGCCCTCGGGCTTCTAAGGAGCAGGTGTCCCTCTGGCCTGCAGGGCTGGCCCTGGATCTGGGTGACGCCTGGTTTGTGAAAGAACAGACTGTCAGGATGAGCCGCCTGCTCCTGGAGCAGGAGCTGAGGTGGGTGGGGGCAGGAGGTGTCCGGGAGGGACGCGTATCCCACTGAGCACCTGCCTCGGCTCCACCAGGTTGGCAGTGGACAGCTGAGTGTCAGTGTGGGTCAGGGGCGGGGTCACCTGGGTGGTGAAGTCAAGTCCAAACCCGTCTTTCCCTGGGACTGCAGAGCAGTAAAATCAAACAGAAAACAGCAAAGTTCTCTCTTGAAGTCTCTGCCCCCCGAGAGGAAGGACATGGGGCTCTGGCTTTGCCATGCACAGCTGCTGGGCTCCAGGAGGGGCCAGGGCCTGCCTGGTCACCTGACCCGCCCCCTTCCCAGGGTCCCCAGGTGTGCAGGGCAGCCCTCTGACTGGCTGTGTGGAAGGGAGCCCGCTCTGACCACAGGGCCAGAGTGGACGTCGCTGCTGTGGCACACAGACCAGGTGGGGCTGGGAAGCAGACGCCGGCCCTGAGCTTTGCCCCGCTGCCTCCCCTCACGGGCTGTTCGCATCACGGAGACACACTGCGTCGGCTTCTCTCCAGTCCCAGGGACCGACCAGACCCCACTTGAGTGTGGTGCCACTACCTGTCTAGTGACTAGTGGGGACAGACTGAGACCAGGCAGCTTTTGGAAACCGACTAGGACACCAAAGAAATTGCCCATAGATGGCCAGGAAGTGCCACCCTCAGCTCGCTGGCCGAGTTCTCTTTGTGTCCCCCTCACTCCTGGAGCCCTGGGGCCCATGCCCTCCATTCCCATCCTGGCAGCCCTGGCTCCATGCAGTGGGGCCCCACTAAGGACCCCGAGGTGCGTGGCCCTCCCACACGGCCTGCCGGAGGCCTGCTCGTGCCTGGGATGCACAGCTCCCTGAGGCCTTACCAGGTCCCAGTCGATGCTGCGGAAGAAGGCGTGGGACTTGATGTCCGAAAAGCCAGTCTGTGGCCGGCAGCCGAGCCTCTCCTTGGGGTCCTGGGGTTAGGATTCAAACGAGGGCCAGTCAGCCTCCCAAGACAGGCCCATGCTCAAGAGGAGACCCCGCCACCCCCAGTGGAACTGTTCTGCGGAGCCCCGAGAGTCCCGAGTTTTACTGGCATTCTCTCCCAGACGGGCCGGGCTGCTCTGTCCTCTCCTCCTGGGCATGATGCCCACTCTGTTAAGTATGAAGGCCCAACGAGGGCGGGGATCCCACATCCCAGGACCCAGAACCCTCCACGGGGGGCCCCTGGAGAGGCATGGGGCCAGGCGCATACCTTGTTTAGGAATCCTTTCAAGACGTGGGAGGCTTTGACGGAGAGGAACCGGGGGATGCGGATTGGCTTCTCCAGGATAACTGCCAGGAGGGAGCAGGGAAGGGCCTGGCTGAGCCGGCTCTGCCCAGCACTTGCGGCCTAAGCCCAGTTCTGAACAGGGCCTCTGGGTGCCCTGCCAGGCCCCGTCCTACCCTGCAGGAGGGCTCCACAGGCTGCAAACCAACTGCTCCCCACACTCAGCCCTGTCTCAGGCGCACGGCAGCCTCAGCACACTGGCCAGCAGAGGGCGCCGAGGGACAGCCTGGCCCCTGGACCTGCATTCCCAGGACAGGGGCCTTGACCAGGGCAGGTGTCAGGGCTTCCAGGTGACAACGGCCGGGGCACTGTCCAGGCCTCCAGGTGTGCCTGGCCTGGGCAGAAGGGGATTCGGGCTAAGTCAGGGTTCTCTTTTCAGGTCACCCTTGGTGACGTGAAGTGCATCACCACCACATGGCCATTCCCTGACTCACAGAGCCTGCGAGCCACGTGTGGGAACAAGGCTGGCCAGAGGGAGGGTGGCCAGGAGGAAGCCCGGGAGAACCCTGGGCCCACGCACCTTGGAAAAGGTAGTCCTCTGTGTTCATGTCAGGGTTGTCGGTGATGATGTCGAAGGGGGAGCGCCCGGCCATCATCTCGAACATGAGGACGCCCAGCGCCCACCAGTCCACGCTGAACCCTGGGAAGAGCCGTCTTTGGTTTGCTTGACAGGCTCAGCCAACACAAATGGGGACGCTTCCAAGCTGGCGCAGCCTCGACCCAGGGAGCCCGCATCCTCCTCGGCGGCTCCCGCCACCCACTGTCCTGGGCCTGTCTCCCTCGGAGCTGCAGGACTGTTTGCAAGTTGAGCTGTCACCCTCGGCCCACACTGTGGCTCCCTGGTGGCCACCTGGGCCTTCAGTTCTGCTCGGGCATCTTTGATACGCTGCCCACCTAGTCGTCCTCCCTTTTCTGGGGGCTGAACCAAGGAGGGGTCTCACCACCGAGCGCGTTCCGTCCTTTTAACAATTTATTTTGAGACAGGACCTCACTCAGCTGCCCAGACTGGCTTGGAACTTACGATCCTCCTGCATCAGCCTCCGAGATCGCTGGGATCACAGGCGTGGCCACCATGCCTGGCCAGTCTATTTCTTGTTTCTGCTTTTGTTTAACTGAGTTTGGAAAGCCCCCGCGACAGCACAACGCTCCCATGACCCCGGCTACATCCGCTCTCCGGCCTCCTGACGTTCAGGTGGTCTGTCGGGTACTGTCTTAGCGCACGGGGAGCCTCGGATTCTGCCTAAGGACAGCAGCTGCCACCACAGTCCAGATGGCCACCTGCCCTAACTAAGTCAAGGCCCTGCCTGCCGTGTGCAGGGCCCGCTCTGGACTGTGTTTTAGGCCACTGCCTGTCTGCTCTTCCTGCTCTGGCCACTGAGCACCTTCACCTTCAACCAGAGCAGCTTCGGGGGCCCAGTTACTCCGAGGGCAGGGCCTGGCTGGCCTGCCGGCTCCACCTGGTCTCCTGGCACAGGTGTGTCAGGGCAGTGGGCACACTAGTGGGCGCACGCAGCACACCCTCCACACACAGGTGAACGTGGGTGCACATGACGTCCCGCCGCTGCCTCCCACCCAGAGCAGGACGGGAGCAGAAGACGCGTCAGCCTTCCCGGGGACACCTCTTCCCCTGCACCTGAGGTGGTGCCCCCCGATGCGGGGCACCTGCCCTGACCCCTGCATGTCCTTGCTTCCTCGTCCTCTCCCTGCCCCAGCCTCGGGGCTCTTGGGTAAGGAAAGTCCTTGCAGGGCCCTCAAGGACCGGCTCTGGACACCAGGAGGTCTGAAGGGCTGGCAGGCCAGGACATGTGGGGTGCGAGATGGCCAACCGAGCCTCTCCCTGGTGGCCAGGCAGGCCTTGCCCTGGACCCTGGGGGCTGGCCCAGCTGCCCCGCCTCCCTCTCTGCTTGAGGGCAGAGGCCTGGACACGTCTGCTCCTGTGTGGCACCCACTCACCGTACTCCTCTCCCCGCAGGATTTCCGGGGCGATGTAATTTGGGGTTCCGCAGAAAGTACTTGTGGTGTCCCCAGGGCCCAGGCCTTCCTGTGGGGACAGATTCAAGGAGGGGACTGTACATGGACTACAGGTGGAAGGGCACCTTGGAGCCCCACCATCAAGCTGTATCCAGGTGGTGGGCATTTCCTGGGGCACCAAGGGCAGGGCAGGCCGAGGTGCTGTCCCCCTGGACCACAGGAGGCTGAGGGACCTGGTGCCAGGGAAGGGCAGCTGCTCACCTTGCACATGCCGTAGTCTGTCAGCTTGATGTGTCCATCAGCGTCCAGAAGCACATTGTCCAGCTTCAGGTCCCGGTAGATGATCCCTCTCTCATGCAAGAAGTTGAGAGCAACGCAGATCTCAGCAGCGTAGAACCTGGGGGGCACCTGCCGTCAGCAGCAGAGGGCGGCCCGTGCAGAGGTCCAGCCGGAGGCCGCACTGCCTGACCCAGCTCCTGGCCACTGGCTGCGTCTTCTGTGTGACGAGCCAATGAGTGGCCCCCAAGACCCAGAGGGCACCCAGCACCACTGGACGTGAGGGGAATGCAAGTCCAAGGCACACCCGGGCCCCTCTACCACTGGGTGGCCACAACGACAGCACAAAACGGCCAGAAAACGCCCGCGGTGAGTGTGGGGAAACTGACCCCATGCCCTCTGCGGTGCAGCCACGGCGCACAGCAGGAGGGACGGCCCTTGAGCATGAAGACAGAACTCCACGTGGCCGGGCAGTTCCCCTCGGGTGTGGAGGCCAGAGTCCGGAGCAGGGCCTCAGAACTGCCCACCAGAGCAAAGCGCTTTATTCCCAGCAACTGAAGCGCGGGGTGACCTGAGTCCAGGACATGTGAATGGAAGGAGGAGGCCAAGTCTGTCCACTGCGTGGCCTTTAGAAGGACATCGTGACCCCGGGGCAACAGGGCAGGATGAAGACATCATGCTGAGCCACGGGGGGACGCAGACCAGCGCACCACGAGGAGCTCCTCTCAGAGGGGGCAGCCGAAGGGGCTCAGGATGGAGGCGGGTGCCCACCGACTCAGGGGACGGAGCTGTGGCCTGGGAGGTGTGGCAGGACGGCCACACAGCAGCGTGAAGGCCCACAATGCCACCACACTCACGCTGGGAAGCGGGCCATGTGCACACGCCGCCACAGGCTCCACGTCCCCAGAGGGTCCTGGGGACTCAGAACTGCAGGGCGGGTGGGGTACGGAGGAGAGCTGGTGAGGGGAGGCTGCTGGGGGCCGCGCTGCCCGAGGCCGGCAGAGGCTTGTGGGCAGACACCGGTGCCACGAGAAGGGGCAGGTGTCCCTCAGTCGTTTTCAAAGGACACGGAGACCGCTCTTCCTGGCACGCTCTGCCACTGGGCCGTCTCATGTTGGAGCCCGCTGCTCCCAGGCGGGGCCTGGTGACATCAGGGCCGCCCACAAGACCTGGCTCCCCACAGCAGTGTCCTCTCTGCCCTTCCTCCCAGCTCCTGCCGACCTCCCGAGGAGGGTCCTCATGCCTGCCCCGTCTATCCGGCCCCTGCCCTGCCCTGCCTGGGACCCACCTGGCGTGTTCCTCCGGGAGCTTCCTCTGTCTCTGCATGTGGAACATGAGGTCCCCACCGTTGACGTACTCTATGACCAGGAACAACCTGCGCGGGAGACAAGGGGCCGGGCTCATGTCCCTCGGCAGCACCTATAGCCTCACCTCGGGCAGAGCAGCTAAGAGCTGCCCGGGAGTGGCAGCCTCCGAGACGGCCACTGGTGTTCGGAACTGGGGATGCCCTGCCACCAAGCTGCATCCCAGTCCTGTGACTTTTATTTTGAGACGCCGTCTCTCCAGTTGCGCAGGATGCCCAGGATCAAAGGTGTGAGGCCCCTGAGCCACAGGGATTGCAGGGGTCGGCCACGGTGCCTGGAGGAACTTGACCTTCAATAGCAGACAGAGCTGCCTTTGGCTGCTGGCCTGTAGCCTTTCATGTCCAGCTCCTCCCAGGTGGCCCAAAGAGGAGGAAACCAGGGACCCAGGTGGCTCCTGGGACCAGCAGGGACAGCTCAGACTGAAGGCGGCTGAGGCCAGCTCTGTGCCTGGGCTGGTGGGTGTGGCTCTGGCTCTCCCAACATCTAAGATCAACCCGGGGGCAGACGCAGCTCAGGGCACCAGGCAGAGGACGGGGACGAGGAAAGAGGGACCGGTAAGCAGCTGTATCTCCTGATCTGCCCTCCAGGGCTAGAGGCCCGAGGCCTGCCAGGTGGGGACCGTGTGGATAGGTGACCTCTGCCAAGGCGCAGAGGCCTGGACAGGGCGCAGGGAAGGGGAGGCAGAGCTGCAGGACCACAGCTGACCACCTGGAGCCGAGCCGGGCTGGGGCTGGCCAGGAGGGTGGGTGGGGGACCTCGCGGGGACTCCATGGTCTGCTGCCTCGTCTGAAGGGATTCCTGGGAGGGCCGGCCAGGAGCCACAGAGGGCCAGCAGGGGTGGCAGGAAAGGTGGGCCCAGCTGACCAGACCTGCCAGCCACCAGGAAAGACAGGAAAGGGTGGGACTCTGGGTTGTAGCCCGGCCTTCAGGACTCAGATGTTCCAGTGTGGGGACAACACAAAGTCCCAGAGAGGAGTGGCCACGATGCGTCTGAGATGCCACCAGCCCTCCAGGCCGACAGGTAGGAAGGATGGCTGGGGCCACTGAGGTGACCATGAGTTCAGGGACAGGATCTCGATTGCACAGGTCCCTCCAGTCTCCAAACCCCTGGCCAGAGATGGGCTTCCTTTTACTGGAAAGACCTCGCCCGCACGTGGTGAGACCACTTCAGGGAAACCAAACTCAAGCCTGTTTTCAGACACGCCCTGCCGGGGCCCGGTGGATCTGCGCCCTCGGCTGCCTTGGAGCCCAGGCTGTCGGCCCTAGGGCACTGGCTGCTCCCCCGGCCTGGGGTCTGGACAGCAAGAAAGGGACGAGCAAGTCCACTTCTTCCTGCAGGGCTTGCACAGCCCTGGGCAGGCCCAGTGGGCACAGCCGAATACCCTTCACGGCAGCCGTGCCCATCCTTCGCCTGCCCTGGGCTCCAGGAGAACTGGCCGCAGGCCACCTAACAAGGCCCCGTGACCACGGCGACTGGAAACAACAGCTGCACACGCAGAAATCCGACGGGCGGAGCCGGGACGGGGCAGTCTGTGTGGGGCTGGGCAGGCCTTCCTTCCTGCCTCTGAGGGATGCGCTAGGGACACCACCTGCCTTCACTGCCCCTGGGCTTGCCGGTCCTCTGCCGCTTGCTATGAGAAGACACAAACGGACACAGCCATAGAGCCACATGCACGGTCCTGCCTGGGGCCCAGGAACATCCCAGGACCCCGACCCCACCTGGAGGGAGCTCGAGCCCCCTGTGGTGGCCCAGAGCAATGCCCCCACTCTTAAGTCACCCCCGGATCCCACCATGGCTGGCACAACCCCACGCTACATGCTCAGCCGAGCAGCGACGCCTCCAGGGCTCCCTCTCTCTGGGGTGCCGCCCGGGCGCCCGCTGCCCTCGGCCAAGCCCGGTGTCTGCACATCTGCCTACAGCTGCAGCAGGAAGGCCCAGGGCCCGAAGGGGGAGCAGCCACGCGTCACTACATGACGACCCACACCCCCAGCGCTTTCTAAAATTTCTTTTTAAAATTTATATATATTTACAGTTGTTGATGGACCTTTATTTGATGTGTTTATTTCTAGGTGGTGCTGAGAACTGGACCTAGTGCCTCACATATATGAGGCAAGGTTCTACCACTGAGCCACACCCCCAGCCCTGCTTTTAAAAATTTTTGAGATGGGGTCTTCCTAGGTTGCTAGGGCCTCTATACATGCTGAGGCTGGCTTTGAACTTGCAATCCTCCTGCCTTAGCCTCCCGAGCTGCTGGGATGACAGGTGTGGCCACCACGCCGGGCTGTTCATGGTGCCCACACACTGGTGAAATCTCCCAGTGACGCGTTTCTCTGCACACCCCCGTGGTGGAGAGATGCATGAGGACATCAACCTCCTACATGTTACCGAGTCTGCCTACCCCTAAGTGGTGACGATGAAAATCACAGCTGTCACGTCCTTGCCGTGTCAGGACATTCCGAGCCCGTCTGTATTTTAACTCATTTATTCCCAGACCTCCAGGTGGACTTCAGCACCTGCCCTATTTTACAGATGGGACAAACAAGGGACAAGAGGGGAAGTGGGTTCCCAGCCCACATCACCATGACAATGAGCCCTGCCCCAGACAGCCTGGGTGAGCCCAGAGCCCACCCCTGGCAATGCCTTGCAGGGTGGCCAAGTGACGGCACAGCCAGGAAGGGGTTAGCCCAGAGAGTCCAAGGCCCAGAGGCCGCGGCCCTCAGGGGGCAGCCTGGGCACCGAGGCCCTGTCACACCAATAAGACGGTGACAACAACCAGCAACAGCGACGGGCCAGAACCCCCCGACCCAGGGAAGGACACGGAGACGGTGCTGCTGGGGCAGGTCCCGGGTGGCATCTGCAGGTGGGAGGGGAGCAGGCAGCCTCAGCTGTCCCTGAGGATGGACTCAGAGCTGCAGGCCCCACCTTCCCAGGTCAGGAGACACTGCCTGCGGGAGGAGAGAGCTCCCAGAGGAGGAGTCAGGGGGCGTCCCCACAGGCTGGACACAAGGGGGACACCCTGGGCCAGCAGCCTCAGGGCACCCTGAGAGAGGACGGCAGGGGTGGCTGGCCCAGCAAGTGAGAGGCCCTGGGTCTGACCCCAGCAACACCCACACACACACACACACACACAGAGAAGGGGCTGGGCGTGGTGGTGCACCCCTCTGACCCCAGTGATTGGAGGCTGAGGTTCAAGGATCAAGTGTGGGACCAGCCTCAGCAACTTAGCGAGATTCTGTCTCAAAATTAAAAACAAACGTACACCAAAGGACTGGGTGCTGCTGGGCAGTCGCGTGCCCTGGGTTCAGTCCCCTGTCCACCTGAGCAAGGAAGAGGGAAGGCAAGAGGGAAGGCAAGAGGGAAGGAGTGAACTCGCTGAACAACAGGACTGCTTCTGCCAGGCACCGGCCCTCTTCTCACCCCACACTGCCTCCCAGTCCTTCTAGAACCTTCTCCCATCACAGAAACTTCAAGTTTTCTGGGTCCTTTGCTAGTGGAAAGGACACCAGATGGGCGGGTCCAGGAACTGGGGAGACAGATCCTTTCTCCAGCAGCGGGGCAGGGGCAGCCGCTCCAGGCCTGGCAGAGCCCACAGCTCCCTACACCCCCACCCTGCCCTGGACCAGCACCGCAGGTCTGCAGCGGGCAGAGGTAACAGGCCCTTCTGACCTGCAGCGGCCGATCACTGTCCTGGCACAAACACCCAAGTGTCCACTGCCCACCAGGGCTGGCCAATGACAGCAGCCAGAGAGGGGCATCGAGAGACATCAGAACCAAGAGGGATGACATTCAGCGGTGTCCCCAGAGCCACTTCCACACAGAGCCCAGGAGCTTCCGCGGAGGGAGGCCTCCAGGAGGCAGCACCGCACCCCAGATGCCGTGGGAGTCTGGTGGGGGCAGAGGCCACACCCCACTGCACCCTCATGCCACGGCCCAGGGACCTGGCTTGGGACAGCGTGAGTCCGGTGGCAATAAACGTCCCTGCCCCGATCTATCTCGTTCCAAGAGCCGCCTGTCGCCTCCTGATTAGGTGCCAGCGATGACCCACTTCCCCTGGAGCTCCCTGTGTGGTCCCCACAGCAGGTGACATGCCCCAGCAGCAGGACACAGCTTCCCTCTGCCCATCAGTGGACAGGGGCCAGAGCCATGGGGTCCTAGACAGACTCTGCTGCTCAGGGCTTCGGGACGACGCACCAGCATGTCCACAGTGTTCCCAAGATTGTGCGATGAACCCACATTTGACAAAAAAATCCCTGAATTCCTGCGTCCCTGGCCAGTACCTCCACCTTTCTCTCTTTGGAAAGCCTGTCCACCAGCTGGAGCCTGTCCAGGACTCAAGGACTGAGCTGCACCTAACCACGGCAAGCATTCCAGATAAAGAGGGCACAGCAGGTGGGTCACAGGGAGGCTGGGCTCCCACGCTGGTCCTGCGAAGGCCGCCCTCCTCTGCCTCACTGCAGGCACAGTGGCCCAAGCACCTGGCTCGCCCCCTCCCAGGCTCCTGGAGGCCCCCGGGCCGTCCTGGCAGCGGGGCAGTGGCTGGCTCCCCGTTACCAGAGGCTGCATGGGAACCCTGGACCCACCGACCCTAGCACGTCCCTCCTCTTCAGCCCTCCAAGGCAGTGGCCTGAGGGCTGGACCTGGCAGCTTTGCTCCTTTCCACCCCTCCCTCTGCTCGCTCCGGCTGGGCGCTCTCCCAGCCCTGCCCGCCTGAGGGCTGTTGGGCCTGCCTCGTCCAGCTCCCCTGGCCGCCAGGAGGATCCCAGCATCAGGCCACAGGCACCCTGCTGGGGAGGGGCTCCCCCTGGCTGCTCCTCTCCCCCAGGCCCAGCTGGCAGGCAGCAAGAGAGCTGGCCACGCCTCGAGAGCTCCAGGCCTCTGCACGTGGCCCCGATGCCTGCGCAGCCCAGTCACCATCTGCTCTGCCTGTCCTCGGGAGACCCAGCCAAGGTCCTCACATGCCACGGCTCCTGCCACTCCTCCGCATGGTGACTAAAGTCACCAGCTGCCCCAGAGCCCCCTGCTCTCTGCTGTCCCTCCTGATGCTCCCTGTGACTAAGTCCAGGGAAGCTACTCTGCTCCAGAGAGAGGCTACCCCCACTGGAGCTGCCCAGGTGGCATGCAGCACCTCCAAGCCACCTGGGCCAGGGCAGAAGTGTTCGAGGGTCTCACAGGGCATCCTGGAGGGGTGGAGGCTTGCCCCTCCTCCCTGTGCAGAGGGAGTGGCAGGGTGCAGACCGTCTGGCCCGGGTGGAGCGGGAGGGGTCTGCGCCGACAGCATCACCTCTGTACAGTCTGTAGGTCGCCCACTTTTCCTGGAGCAGCTTGAAGGGAGGCTTCCCTGTTTTGGAGACTTTGTGGCAATAATAATTCTGGCCACTACTAGGACAAGGTGGGCCGTCTAGATACTGGGGTACGGTCTTCCTGTGAACAGACGCTCATTCCTATTAAAAATACCACAACGTTGGCATCCGCGTGGCAGAACCAGTGCTTGGTTAAAGATCTGGGAATTCCATACAGCTGCTCAGTGATGCGGAGGACGTCCTAGGAGGATGTCCGAGGAGGACGTCCGAGCAGAGCGGTGCCACTGGACCTGGGAGGAAAGGCAGCGATCCTCGTTTCTTCCTATCCCGAGGCCCCTCTGCAGAGGGTGAGCCCATGTGGAAACGGCAGTGTCCTATCTACCAGGTTCCACGGCAGCGGCCAGGGAGTGCCTGTGTCCTGCCCTGCTTGGTCAGCTTCCTGTTAAATGGGATCCTGCTGGGGAGGGGACCGTGGCTTCCCCGGCCCCTCACAAGAGGCCTGGCAGAGCCACACGTGCTGGCTTCAGGGGAACCCAGGAGCCAGGTAAGTCCTCAGGTGCCCCCATGATGCTCAGCGGCTGGGGCAGCAGCTGGGCACAGCCGAGAAGCTCCTCCCAGCCAGTGTCGGGCCAGGCCTGCCAGGCCGACCCCCCTGGATCAGGAGCAGCTGGCTGACTCTCACCACGGTCCAGCAGTGTCCTGGCGCTCGGCTCCTCCCCTGGGCCGTCTTCCCAGCCGCTGTCTGGCCGTGGGAGCTGCGGACTCCTGTGGGGCCACGATGCCAGCAGGGCGGGAGCCCTCGCAGCACGGGAGAGACCTCGGCAGCAACTGCTGGGACCAGGCCCAGCTGTGAGCCCCTCCAAGGGAGGGGGTGGCAGGAGGGCCGCACCAGGCAAGGACAGCCAGCAAGCGTGACACCAGGGCCTTTGCTCCTATGGCTGCCCAGGAAACCCTTAAGACGGTCCGGGGGAACCTGGGTGATCCCGGGCTCTTTTTTTTTCTGGTACCAGGGATTGAACTCAGGGGCACTCGGCCACTGAGACACATCCCAGCCCCCCTTTTTTTTTGTTCCTGGTGCTGAGGATTGAACCCAGGGCCTTGTGCGTGTGAGGAAAGCACTCTGCCAACCGGGCTATATCCCCACACCCCCAGCCCTTTCTGGTATTTTTTTAGAGAGAGGATCTCACTGAGTTGCTTAGTGTCTCATTTTACTGAGGCTGGGTTTGAACTCGCCATCCTCCTGCCTGCCCCGCCATGCCTGGTGCGGGCTCTCTTCTTTGCCCACTCTTTCCAGGGGTCGTCTGTGGTCCCGGAGGTGCGCTCTGACTCTAAGAGGCCTAGGACGCTGCCGTGGACCTGCGAGGGAGGTCCCCATGCCAGCTCTGCATCACCCAGGGGTCTCCTGACGCAGGTAGCACCTCACGCCTTCTTCCCTCACTACGAGTGGGTCACGTAAAACCAACCACCATCACGCTGCACTTGGACAAGAAGCGCGAGTTTCATGTAACACATTGCTGGGTGCCAAGGGCCAGAATCAACCAAAGCCGGGGACCAAACAGCACAGGACACGGGCTGCTCCTGAGCAGCTCACAGGTGGGGAGACAGCCTAGGGGTCGAGGCAGGCACAGGGACACCGCTGGGGAAAGACACACCCGGCCACCAGTGTCCGGCGATCCCGGCTGGTGACAGATTCAGTGAGAAGTCAGGTGTGCACATCACTCCCTCCTGCGAGGCCTCCCTCCACTGGGAGGGCAGTGCAGGGAGCCCTGCGGTCACAGGAGATGCCGCCCACACTCTCCTCTGCTCCGGTTCTGCACACGCAGTACTCACACCTAGGTCTCTGGAGGCCGGGCGCAGAGGCCACACCTTGGGCCACCTGGTGGAAGCGAGTCTGGAACAGTGGACCCTTTTAGATCTGCACCCTACCACTCCATGCAGGGAACAAATGGAGACAAAGCTCTTCTCTGGAGTCTCGCCCTCCGGGAACGGCTCGGGACTGTTCCGTAACGGGGAGCCACTGGCCAAGGGCCATGGGGGTGCTCGCAGGGGACCACTGACGGGGCTGGGCTCTGGGAAGGAGTGGGAGGGGAGGCGGGCTCCAGCAGGCAAGGCCGGAAGGAGGGCCAGGATCCGGGGCCTCGACACAGGAAACGAGGATTTTATTTGCTGGGAAAAGGTACCAGGAGCTTTGGCAAAGGGGAGGCAGTTCAGAGTGGCGGACCTCCATGGGCGGGCGCGGTGCCAGGAGCAGAGCGGAGGCGGGGGGAGCCCCAGGGAGATGCCTCTCGGGGGGCTGGGTTCGGGCAGGAGGGAGACTCAGGTGGATTCAGGAGGTGTGACCAGTGAGGACGGGAGGGGCAACTGCCAATTTCCCAGCTGGGGCGATGGGGAGGACAGGAGCGCCACAGAGGGCGGCGGGGGGCCAGCTCACTCCAGTGCTTTGCGAGCGGGTGACAGAGCCCTGAGAGGAGAGGGTGGGGCGGAGGGAGCCTCTGCATAGGGCTGGGCCACACCCAAGGGCTGTCTGCTGTGAGGGGAGAGGCCTGCAGGCGAGGCTGGCCTCAGCGGGTGGCCAGTCCCCTACACACATACAGAGTGTTCCCTGACAGGAAGGGCGGCTCACTGGGCCCAGCTGCACACCACGCCTCAAGCTGAGGTTTTATGTCAGCTGACTGGGCCGCGCAACACCCAGGTAGCTGGTCACGGGCCTCTGGAGGAGATCAGCCTCTGAGCGCGCAGCTGGGCGAGGGCCCCCTTCCCAGTGTGGGTGTGACACCCCACAGAACAGAGGTGGAGGAAGGCTGGACTTGTGTCCTGCAGGGCCGGGGTGTCTTCCTGCCATCGGGGCTCCTGCTTCTCAGGCCTTTAAACCACACCATCAGCTTCCCCAGCCTCCGTGGTCTCACGGCCAACACTTTACAGTAAAGCTGTCCTCTCTCTCTCACACACGGCTGCCTCTCTGGGGAACCCCGAGGACTCCCGATGCTGAGTATCTTCGGGCACTGGGGGTTTTGGCATGTCTTGGGGGAGGGTTCCATGGCCGGCCCTTGGTAAAGCCCTGAGCCACCCAGCTCACTGCGGGAGCCTGGGGGAGGCCGTGCCTCACTTCCTCCAGAACCTGGAGGCCTGTCCTTTGGCCAGTTTTCCCTTATACTTTTGGTGCAATAAATCACAGCACAGTACCCTGAGGTGGTCTTGGGCACGCGACAGAAGTTTTCAAATAGACACACCGAGTCCCCGTCAGCGGTGCCCGCGTTGTAAACAGAGCACATACTCAATGCCGAGACCACGAGCCTTCAGGCATCTAAAAGCAGAATCCCAGACAGCACAGAGCTTGTGAGCAAGGCCGTCGGTGCTTACTGACAGCTCTCCATCAGCCAGAGGCTCCTGCAGAGGAGACCTCCGACCCCCTGCACTCAGCACCCGGCCTGATGGTGGTGCACTGTGGGGCGCTTCCTGCACGGTTCATAAAGGGAATTGCACAACTCAGGTTCGACTGTGGAACCTCAACAAGGAGAACACAAAGCAAGCCTGAGGACCCAAATGCCCTGCCCTGGCCATTGGCAGAATGCGGAGGACACTGACACCTCGGCCGGGCTCGGCTTCCATGAGGCTCCAGTGGAAAGTCAGTGGAATCTCCAGGACACCTTTTTTCCTTACCTGCTGGTTGTCTGGAAGCAGGAGTGTAAGCCGACGAGGAAGGGGTTGCTGGATGCCTGCTCAAACACGTGCTTCTCTGTCTGCACCCAGTCGATATCCTGAAATAGAAACCAGGGGGTGCTAATGAGGCTCCTCAACACTCATCACCCACGTCCTGCAGAAGGCGGAGGCAAAGCAAAACCCTCTGTTCTCTGCTCTTGAGAAGATAATGCATAGAGGAAAAGAACACACCCACCAAAGAAATACGTCACCAACACAATCACCACCCACCCCACCATCATTACTGTGATACCACCAACCCTCATACTATCAACCATTAGCATATACCCATCCCCAGCTCACCACCACCACCACCACCACCACCAATCACCAATCACCACCATCACCAATCACCACCACCACCATCACCAATCACCAATCACCACCATCACCATCACCAACATCACCATCACCAATCACCACCATCACCATCACCAATCACCACCATCACCAATCACCAACATCACCATCACCATCACCAATCACCCCACCATCACCAATCACCACCATCACCAATCACCATCACCATCACCAATCACTACCATCACCAATCACCAATCACCACCACCACCAATCACCACCATCACCAATCACCCCACCATCACCAATCACCATCACCAATCACCACCACCATCACCACCACCAATCACCACCATCACCAATCACCACCACCACCACCACCACCACCATCACCAATCACCACCACCATCACTAATCACCACCACCATCACCAATCACCACCACCATCACTAATCACCACCACCATCACCAATCACCACCATCATTAATCACTACCAATCACCACCATCACCAATCACCACCATTACCAGTCACCACCATCACCAATCACCCCACCATCACCACTATCACCATCACCAATCACCCCACCATCACCAATCACCTCACCATCACCAATCACCCCACCATCACCAATCACCCCACCATCACCAATCACCTCACCATCACCAATCACCACCATCTTGAGACCCTGTCTCTAAATAAATACAAACAGGGCTGGGATGTGGCTCAGGGGTTGAGTGCCTGTGACATCAATCCCCAGTACCCTCCCCCCGCCCCCCACAAAAAATAAGTAAAATAAAAAGGATGGTAAAATGCCCCGGGTTCAATCTGATACAAAAAAAAAAAAAGACTCAAATCCAGCCCCAGCTCTGAGCCCTGAGCCCCGCCAGGTGGGGAGCCCTTCTGCGGCCACTGGCCACCTGGCATGCACCAGGGGCTGGGTGACAGCAGCACCGTGGCACCTGCACCTTGCCCTCTGCTCCTGAGACCCAGCGAGTACTCAGGTGTGAGGCCGACAGGCAGAGAAGACCCTCAGTGCTAGCCCTGGGCTCTGGGCCACTGGGAGGCACCACTGCATACCCATGAGGACCAAGGGACGAGAAGCCAGAAGCAGGGTGGGCATGTACAGACACTGGAGCCCTCGCCCTCTGGAAGCAGGCGCCACACTCTGAAGCTGCCACGGGTCCTTGGGAGTTAGCACAAATCCCAGGTGACCAGCAACTCCACCCAGACGTGCCTCCCGGGGGCTCAGGGACTCTGACCTCACTGCCCGACCGCTGTCCGCAGCCAAAGGTGGGAGAGCTCTGCCCGTGGATGGACAGATGCACAGAGCGAGGCCTTGGGACCACAGACTGGGCATCCTGATGCACGCTACCACCAGGGGACCCTGAGCAGGTGCCAGTGACATGCCCAGCACAGGACACCACCAGAAGTCCATGCAGGTGGCTGGGGGGCCGATGTGAGGGGAATGCCAGCCCAGCTTGGTAGGGTCAGGTCTGGCAGGGGAAGGGATGTTCAGGACTAGGTAATGGTGGCGGTCATTCATAATGTGACAAACCAACTCAACGTGGCTAAATGGCAGGCTCTATGTCACGTGCACTTCACCACAACTTCACTGGCCAGTTCAAAGCCAGCCTCAACAAATTTCAAGCAAGACCCATCTCAAAATAAAACACAGAAGTGGCTGGGGATGCGGCTCAGTGGTCAAGTGCCTCTGGGTTCAATCTTGGTACAAAACTAAACAAAACAAATCTTGAAGTTGAAATTGAGATTTCAAGAAATAAACCATCAGTCCTGTTGCCTTAACTTCTCCCCAGAAGCACCGGCACCAGGGCCTGAGACAGGGCTCAGCGGCCGAGTCGTGCCTCGCAGTCACAAGGCCTGGTCACCCAGCACCACAGAGAGAAAAGGAAGCAGCTGGCATGGAGCTGCCGCTCAGCATGTGCCCAGAGACAGTGCCACCCTCACCACCCGACCGGCTCCGGCTTCACTGCCATGTCACCAGACTCAGCCATTCTGAGCTTGCAGCTGACACATCAAGTCAGCCGGTCACTCAGCCCAGCGGCTCCCCTCACCGGAGGAAGCCAGCCTTCACCACAGCCTGCAGCGGCTTCCTCCTGCCCAGAGACGCAGCCGGTCCCCATCCCCTCAGAGACCCCGGCCCATGTCCAGACTCCATCCCTGAGTGGACCCAGGGCGCACCCCCCCACCTGCCCACGTGGTCCCCCATGCAGCCCTGCCCCCTGGGGACCCAGGTGCGTCCCCGGCCCCCCCCCCCCACGGGTCTGCACCACACAGCCTGGTCCCCTGGGGACCCCAGGGTGCGTCCCCGCCCCCCCACCTGCCCACGTGGTCCCCCATGCAGCCCCGCGCCCTGGGGGACCCAGGTGAGTTCCCCACCCCCCCACCCGCGCACGTGTTCCCCACCGCGCGGCCCCACCTCTGCCCTCGGCCCAGCGCCCCCCCCCACCTCGTCGTCGTGGACCAGCTCCTTCTTGACCACCTTCATGGCGTAGACCTGGTCGTTCTTCTTCAGCCGCACCAGGAGGACCTTGGCGTAGCTGCCGCGCCCGATGACCCTGATGAGGTCGAAGTCCTGCAGCCCGAGCCCCTGAGAGATCTTGATCCCGTCGACCCCATCAATGACAGGTTTCAGGTCCTAGGGAGGGAGCCCAGGGAAGGGGAGGGATGTGTCCGCCAGGGTCGCTGGGAGGGCTGCTCCTCCAGGTGCCCCTGGGCCCTGTGATGGCACTGCAGCCCACCAGGCAGGGCCTCCCGCAGGGGACACAGTCTTGACAGCCTGCCAAGGTCTGCCCCGCCCCCAGCAGGCGGCCCTAGAGCGGCCTGCCAGACATCTGTGGGCGCGAGGGGGTGGTATGGGGTGGTCCCAGCGGGCTCCCGGTTCTTTCCAGACAGACTGGCCATGAGAAGACCTGAGTGGTCCACGTCGTCTCTTTTTTGAGCTACATTCCCAGCCCTTTTTGAGACCAGATATCGCTAAGTAGCCGAGATGGGGCCTGCGGTCCTCCTGCCTCAGCCTCCTGAGCCGCTGGGATGACAGGGGTGGCCATGTGTGGCTGGTCACTTGAGGAAGGGCGCCCTTGAGGGTGCCGAGCCCAGCTCTCCCTGCATGATTCACCAGGCTGCCTGTGAGGCCCGTCCACCGCCTGGTCCACACCCAGGAGAGGGCAGCGCGGTGCCGGCCAGGCCAGAGGGCAGGAGAGGCAACAAGGAGGTCTTCATGCAGATAAAATGGGATGACAATGGCAGCTCAGAGGTCAGCCCTGGCCTGGCTCTGGGGCCGGGATGTGGGTCCCAACAGCCTGCAGGGCGCCCGCCCCGGGGAGGGGGATTCGTGGAGCAAGCGTCAGCAGCAAGACCCAAGGACGAGGTCCTTCTCCCAGACGCCATAGAGCCCTGTCTCACCTGAGGCCAGCAACAACCCCCAACACGTCTAGTTCATGCCTAAGTGTCCTCCACTGCCCAGAAACCGGCTCCACGGCTCTGGACGAGGGGACACACTCACCTCGGAATCGTCTTTGATGCCCTCGTGCTTCCGGGAGGAAGAAATGTACGCAACTAGAGAAGCAAGGGAAAGAAAAAGGCCATCACCCTGTGTCAGGGTCCTCCAGGGGCACGTGGTGGCCTGGCCAGGGCTGCTGTGCTCAGGGGCATCCCAGGGGTGGCCACATCAGACCCCAGTCTTAGGAAAATGCAGCCTTCTGGGTTCCACTCAGACCACAGAATCTCAACACAGGGCCTGGGAGCCCTATGCCAACAGGGTTCCCTGGGACTCTGGGAACTGGGGCGTCACATCCTGATACACTCTGTGTAGGCTGACAACAGTCCAAGTCAAAAGAGGAGTTTAGTGCATCTACCCTTTCAAACATCGTAAAGGAAGTGCTCACGTCTCCCCATCCAGCACGCCGCCTGCACCGTCCTCAGACTGACATCCTGAGCAGAACCACTGCCAAGTCTGGGACACCTCCCAGCCTTTGTCCTAAGGACAGGCCCTCGCAGCAGGGGCAGGAGCTCAGCGCTGGCTGGCTGGGTGGGTGGTGGACAGGATGGTGCACAGAGGATGGATGGCTAGATGCGTGCTGGATGGGTAAGTGGAGGCTGGATGGACAGGTAGCTGTCTGTTAGGAGTCTTTTTCATGTGGGGTGCTGAACTAAGTGCTCTGTGCTCTGTGGCCTTGTTTCATCCTTCAAGTTCCCAAGGGGACTCTTATCCAAGGGGAGCCAGAGCACCCATGCACCTGGGTGTGCAAGCTCACAGCTGGGCCGCGACCCAACTGGTATCTGAAATCTCTTATCATTAAAAAAAAAAAAAAGGTCTGTGGACCCACCACTGAGTGGACCTGACCTCACTGATCTCAGGAGCTGAGCACCTGGTTAGGTCAGACTCACCTGAGCAGGTGAGTCAGGTTAGGATGTGGAAACAAGGGGCACCCTTTCCCAGAAACCCCCACAGAAATCCAAGGGCCGGGCAGCAGCCACCGTTGGCAGCCCCTCAGGCCCTCCCATGAGACCAGCCCCCAGCACCAAGTGCTCTCTGAACTCTCAAGTCCGTGTGGGGAGGGTCCTCACTCCACGGTTCCCAGGGCACAGAAGAACCAGCCTGGCCAGGATCCTCAGGTGGCCCCCAGTGCACCCCCAGCCCTGTGGGAGGGCACCAAGCTTGCCCACATGAACCCTGGGCACCAGGAGGCCAGGAAAGGGAGGCAGCGGGAGGCAGACCGGGCAGAGAGGAGCCCAGCCAGGCCAGCAGGAGAAGAGAGTGCCTACTGCCATCGGTCTCCTCCGAGGGAAGGTCCACGCCGTCGCTCTTCTCAGCTACTGGAGGCTCTTGGGAAGGCATGACAGAATCCTGCCAGAGAGATGGGCGCGCGTCACCGTGGCTGTCCACGACCGCTGCTGTGCCCTGTGTGCCAGGGGTGTGCCGCCCAGAGCACAGCGGCCAGGCTGCTGCACTGAGCTCAGGAAGGAGACGCGCTGCCCAGGACAGCAGGCAGAGGACACTGCAGGGCCCTGGGCTGCGGCCTCCCTGCCAGGCCTTCTGTTTTCTAACTTTAATTTTACTATTTCGAGGTCCTGGGGACTGAGCCCCAGGGTGCTCTCCACTGAGCTGCACCCTTTTAAGACGGCGTCTCACTCAGTTTCTCAGGTTGGCCTTGACCTTGCCGTCCTCCTGCCCCAGCCTCCCGAGTTGCCAGGACAACAGGTGTGGCACTGTGCCCCCAAGAGGTGTCTTAAAACACGGGTCAGGGCTTCACACGTGTGGTGACCCGCCCCCGCATCATGTGCCTCACGGCAGCCAGACCCCAAGCATCACCCAAGGGCGCTTGGGTCCCACATGGCTGGCACCACAATGAAGCACTGAGCCATGGGCTCCCACCACTGGCCCGGGCTCTGGCTGACCACACCCGGGCTGGGCTTGCCTCCAAAAGCTACCGTGGACCTTGGGGGAACTGTCACCAGGCACTGTCATGGTTTTTGGCAGACGGGCCTGAAAGGACCCAGGAGTGTTTGCCCCACCCCTGCCTGTGGTACCCTGTGTCTGGGGCTCCAGCAACACCAGGCTGACACCCTGGGCCAGACTTGGTCCTGTCTGGGACAGGTGGGCAGGCCGCCCCACAGCCTTGTCCCCACACACACACCTCCAGATGGGGCGTGGCCACCACCACTGGCCCTCAGCAGGGCTGGGGTCTCGCGCCCAGCCCTGGTGCCCTCTCCCAAGGTGCAGCAGAGCCGGGGTGTCTGGAAGAATGAGGGGTGGAAGCTGGGTCAACAGCGTGCCCAAGGGCCCGGTCTCCTCAAGTCCAGGTGCTCGGGATGAGCTGTCGAGGGAGCTGCCCCCACCTGGTCCCTAGGCCCTCACGGCTGCTCCAGGGCAGGGCCCCCAGCGTTGGGTGCAGCCTGGGAGCCCTGGAGATCTGAGCCACAGCTGGCAACAGGAGGTCCTCCCCACCCACCTGCAGAGGGCACTGGAGTTCCCCCGGAGCCCTGGCGGCCGTCACAGGGACACACAGGAATCCTTCCCATGGGGCTAGGGTGGGGACAGGGCCACGACCCCTCAAGACAGATGGGTCACAAGGCCAGCCTGGACCACAGGCCAGAGTCCGGGTCTAGCGCCCACCCTGGGCCCCGACTCACCATAAGCCTTCTGCAGGTCAGCGGGACGAGGCCGTGGCAGCGCTTATGGACCAGCAGCTTGCAGTGGACGCACCTGTAGCCCTGCCTGGCGAGGCCCCATATCCTTTCACTGCACTGGCCACAGTACGCTTTCTGCAGGTGGGAGGGGCACGTGTCAGGCCAGGGCTGACTCTCCCTGAGCCCTGCTGTGCCACGGGGCCCAGCCGAGGACCCAGCGGGCCGCACCTTTCACATTCGCTCAGGAAACGCCGCTGGGGCGCCAGGAGCCCCCCACTTCCCTTCCAGGAGCCGGGCCGGAGCGGCCTGGGCCCCACCGCGTGGTGCCTGCCCTGCCTCAGGCTGCGGTGCTGCCTGCTGGGTCTGGTCAGGCAGTCCAGGCCGCAAAGTACAGGGGAGAGGTTCCCTGACCCTCCTTCAAACTGTCACCAGGGAGCGAGGACCTGGGGGAGTGAGCCTGCAGGCGACCTGACGCCACTGCCCACTAACTGGGAGGGCAGTCTGCCACAGCCCTGGGGGGGTTCTTGGGCACGGAACCCAGGGTTCCATCCACCACTGAGCTGCAGCCCAGCCCTTTAAATTTCTTATTTTGAGACAGGTCTTGCTAAGTCACCTGGACTCAGCCTCCTGAGTTGTTGGGATGACAGGTGTGGCCACTGCACCTGACATTATTTTCCAATTTTGAACAGATCTTTTCTTCTTTGTGACTCTCATCAACCTGAAGTTAATGATCATCGCTTGTCTTGTGACATTCTCATGGGTTTCTGAATTTCACAAGATGCACATGGAGGAACATCTTTGGAACCCGGCTTAGTCCCGTGCGTCTGTGGTGTCCACAGGCCCTGGATGTCCCCTCTGGACTTCCCTAGGCAAAGTTCTTGTGCTTTTGCTCTTGGTCAACACTCTCAACCATGTCCTTCTTCAGTGATCCTCAGATCACTCCTGCCCAGGGCATCTGAGGTGACTGAATCTGCCCAAGAAAACTGAGCCCTGGCACCAGGGCCACGGGGCACTAAGGGGACCACCTGGGAGCCGGTTCTCATCAGAGAAGAGCCATACCCAGGAAGCCAGGGCTCAGGGCTCGGGCACCGAGGCCAGCACCAGGGACAGTGCCCACCACACATGGGCTCCCACCATGTTCTTGTCATGGACAAGACCACTGCTTTTAACTTCAGTACCAGAAAAAAAGCATTCCAAGTCCTCACATGTTTTCGGAATCCGTTCCCCACCAGGGAAGGAGCTACCTTGGAATGCTCTGACGCGCATGCAGGAGGCAGGGCGGAGTGGGCACGGGCTGGGGGCCCCAAGGCCCCAACCGGGCCACACAGTCTCACACCCATGGTCAGCTCCCGAATGCAGGCCAGTCTCCATTTCCTGCTGCATCTACAGTCCCCAGGGAAACCAGTCACCACCTGTGGAACTCTTTAGTGAAAAGCCAAGTTTTTGATCTAATGTGCTAGATGCACTTAGTTTTTCTTTTAATATTTTTAGCTGTCAATGGACCTTTGTTTATTTATACGCGGTGCCAAGAATCAATCCCAGTGCCTCACCCACACCAGGCAAGCGCTCTACCACTGAGCCACAACGCAGCCCATGCACTTAGCTCTTCTAAGTCTCCATTTAACATCGTGATCTGCAATGCTTGGATCCCATGTGGCGGTCAATTCGCAGCTCCCAGGTGCCTTCACAAAGCCAGGACAACTGCTGACCTCTCCCACATGTGATTTGTACAGGAGGCTGCCAGTGCTTTACCAACAGCCCTTATTTAAAATCTACACTTGAATTATTGACATTTCAGACAATGTGCCATTAAAAAATAAGATAAAACCAAAAGAGTCAAGTTTCTATTGTTACAAATTCACACAAATTAAATAAAGTCTTGTTTCTTGCTCATATTTTCAATCACATATTCTAATTTTTAAAGACAGTAAACACATTCTAACATTTTCAGCCAGTCTAAGCCTTCCGTCTGGGCTTCCGCCAGCTCTTACTCTGGATGTCCAGGTCCCTGCCACCCTGTGTGGTTTTGGATTGGGAGCTCAGACGCTGAGTGCATCCATCTGTGGGAATCCTTTGAGGCTGGCTGGAAGAGAACTGTGTTTGCGGCTGCCAGCCACCTGGGGGCACTGCTGGGCTGGACCCACTTAAGGGTATGAATCTGGGCTGCAGGTGTGAGGCCCAGCTCAATGCTTTAAGTCCTTGGGAACAGTATCCCTTCCCCCTCTTCACATGGACACTAAGGCAGCCTCAGGTCCCCTCTTGTCCTCTGAGCCTGTGCCTGGGACCGTTTCATGTTGATGGCAGGGTGGGCACGGGTCCCTCTCAGGTCTAGATTATCTCAGCAAACATAACTCTGAGCCTCTAGCAGGGTGGTGGCAAACCTCAGCTGCAAGCCAAACCCAGCCCTTCTCTTGTTTGCCCATGTAGAGTCGCAGGGGGCACATCCCAAAGGCCAAGGCGTGAACTTGGCTCCTGTCCAGGAGGTGCTTGCTGACTGATCACAGTTGCTTGGACCAAAGAGCTCAGGAGAAGCTTTTTTTTAAAAAAGTAGTTTTAGTTGTAGACGGTCACAATACCTTTATTTTATTCACTTATTTTTATGTGGTGCTAATCTGGAACCCAGCGCTCGCACGTGCTAGGCGAGTGCTCTACCACTGACCCACACCCTCACCACAGGAAAGGCTCAGCCCGAGGGTCCCAGCTCTGCACTGATCAGCGCACCCCACCCACGTCACACGGCTCAGGACCACTCTGTCACTGCAAACTCTCTCCTTGTGACTTTTTTTCCAGAAGCCACAGGGGAGGCCAAGTGGAAGCTGACTCACGAGGGGCCACGGGGCTGAGCCCGCCCTGCAGAGCAGTGAGGCCCCCGGTGCTGCCCAGGGCCCCCGGCAGGTCTTGGGGGAGAGTGTGAGCTTCATCTTGGCAAAACCAGCCAGTCAGACACAGGAACGGGGAAAGGGGTTCTAGAATCCTCTGATACGGTGCTGGGCTGGGGCATCTGCTGGAGACGCCTCCTCTCACCAGCACCAGGAAGGTTCCCAAGTTTAGCAGAGAGAAGCTGTGGCCCCCGAGGGGCTGTCCGCTGCCCACTTTGTAAATGGATGTGGGGCGGCAGGTGCAGGTCCTGGCCAGGCACCTCCACTTCCGCACACAGCGGCAGCCGGCTTTCCGTCTGTCCTGGCTCGTGAACAGCCTCGTGGGCACGCCCTGCTGCTCGGCCCAGACGGCCAGGGCCCATCACTCCTGCCCTGCGGCCCCCACCCACTGGCGGCAGCACCTGGTGCTTGATGACCTCCCTGGCCTCTTGCGGGTGACGCCGGTGACACCAGCCTCTCCACGATCTGTGTTCCACAGCCCCCTGAGGTTTGCCTGGACTCCCCAAAGCCGCCTCCTTCCTGGCAGACGCGCCCCATTTCTCCTTGTCCCCAGCAGGCCCCGGGACTCCCCGTGACTTTGCTCACTCATCACAACACAGGACAAACCAGCGCCTAGCTTGTACCTACTGGGTGCCAGTGCGGGGACACAGCCTCGAGAGGGTGGAGTCCCTGTCCCCACCTGTTCCCAGAGCACTGTGCACCATGGAGCAGCCTCATTCAGAGCCACGAGGAACCTGCAGCGCGTCAGGCACGTCCCTGAGGGAGGCTGCCCAGGAGGGGCTGCTGGGCCCTCCTTGGCCAGAGGCCTGGACCCCTCCAGCCCCACCTCCAGGTGGTATCGTCTCAGGCCGCCTCCTCCGGCAAGTCCGTGGGCACTCCGGGCCGTGCTGGCTGGCCTTTCTGGGTGCGGGCCCGCGGGTCCCCTGGCCTACAGCCCTAGGCACTCCTCTCCTCCTCGTCCTCGGACTCCACGTCAGCCTCGAGGGGCGGGAGGCCCCAAGACACTGGAGGACCAAGGAGGAGGGACCCAGGCCCACAGAGCCTCCTGGAGGCCAGAGGACAGGTCCAGGGCAGGGCAGCACCCTCTGGGGGCTGGGCTGGCTGGGCTACCCCAGAGGAGAAGGGAGAGGGCCAGTGCCGATGGTGGCCGCCATGGGATGGAGCAGAACGAAGCTGCCCAGATGACAGAGCAGCTTCCCTGTGGCCACCTGACACCCGTCACCACCACACTGCTCTGCAGGCAGAGCTCAGAGTGGGTGCACCCTGCCCGAGGACACCTGTCACCGCAACCCTGACCCCCAGATAAGACTCCGAGAACCCTGAGGGCAACTGGGCCAGCAACACCACAGCCTCTGTGTGTGCCATGGGAGGTCACCAGGTCGCAGCTACCCAGCTGGGGACCAACGGTAGAAAAGTGAGGGGCTCAGCGGGCGGTGACACACAGGTGGCTGCAGGGAGCTCTGTGCAGAGTCCTGCAGTGGTCACTGGCCCATGGGCATCCATCCGAGTACCCGTCCACTCTGGCACCGAGGCACCTGGGCACCGCTCCTCACTGTGAGGACGAGAGCACAGTGAAACAAGGGAGGATGGCGGAGCGTCCTCGGGAGGGGGCCAAGGTGAGGACATCTGGGGCCACAGGGGGGACAGAGCCCAGGGGAGGTGGGTGCTGCCTGCAGACTTGCAGGTGCACTCTGGACACAAGCAGCCTAGGCCCTCAGAGCCCCTGGGCACTCATCAAGGATCACGCCACCAGGGACGGCTGAGGGACACCATGAGCCCCCATGGGCTCAAACCAGCCCTGGACGCCTCTCCACCGCCTGGCGACAGGAGCCCAGCTGGCAGAAGTCGCGCCTCCCTCCTCCGGACGGAGGCCTGGGAGGAGCGGTGCGAGGGCCACTCACCCTGTTAAAGCGCTTGGCCTGGAAGAGGTGGCCGTTGGCCTGGTACAGCTTCCTCCATCTCCTGGCTCCCCGGCGGTAGATGGACTCTGGAAGGACAGGAGAGAGGCACAAAGGTGGGTCACGGCTGCCCGCCCGCCTGCTTGCTGCCCAGGGTATGGAGAGGACAGGCGGCTCCTGTCCAGGTGGCCTGGGGGACACCAGAGTTGCAGTGACAGCCTCCCCAGTGATCCCGGCCTCTCCTCACATGGAGCTCAGTTCTCACAGCCGTGACTGCTAGAGATGGCCGTCCAGATGAGGGGACCCGACTGGGGCCACGGACAGCACGGGCAGAGACGGACCCTGCCAGGCAGGCCAGCAGCCCCACCCGGCCTGTCCTCCTTCCCGCCCACCCTCCAGCCAGCCCCAGGAGACTCAGGCCCTTTCTCCACAGGGACCCCGTTCAAATGGGCCGTGGTATGTAAACAGAGCCGCCCGAGTGGGCAGAGCCCTGCAGGCCACGGTCAGCCAGCAGGCAGAGAGCAGGGCCTCAGCTCACCCGGACTCCTAGGCCCAGCGCTCCCTGCAGCTTCCCTTGAGATTGGGGGGGTGGGCAGAGAGCCAAACCCAGCAAATTGCAAGTGACCTACAGCACGGGTCAGTGATTCAGACTGGTGGGGAGCGGGCGGCGGCCAGAGCCCAGGGCCCCACGCGCCTCAAACACGGGAAAACACCCGCGGAAACCACCCCAGGGACGCCACAGAGGATGGAGCTCTGTGCCCCCACAAAGCTGCAGGCAAAGGTGACTCTCATGAGCCCAGAGGAAGTGCCCCCAGCACAGGGCGTGGACCACAAAGAACACTCTCAGCTCCTCTCAGCTCCGGCTGGAAATGGCCCCGCAGAGCTTCTCATGCCCCAAAGTCTGGTGTCACCTGATCCCCTGAGGGTTCCAACCTCAGATGAGACGCCCAGATGGCAGCCCTTCACCCACCTGGGACTTCAGGCCTGGGGACCACCGGAGGCTCGAGCCAGGGGGAGTGGTGGCACCCTGGCCCATCTGCCCCAAGGCTCTGGGGAGCCTTGGGAGCCCCACTGGCCTCTGCCCATGAGGACTGCCCCAACAACCAGACACTGGAGGAGGAAACGACTGGGTGGCGAGGACAGACTGGGACCTGGCCTCTGGCTCCTTCTACCCGGCACGCCTGTCCCTTGAGTGTTGACCCTTCAGATTCGACTAACATCTCCAGGGAGGCAGGGGCTTAAAGCACCCAGCAGAGGCCAAGACTGACCAGCGGGTCCCCAGAGAACAGGGGGCAGGACAGAGGACCCGAGCCCCCGGGGTGTGGGGTACAGCGGTGACAGGTGGCGGGGGGGCACAGTGCGCCTGCCACCCACAGCAAGGAAGCCTAGCTTCGCCATGACCACAGCGCTGGACTGTCCCCAAGCACGTGTGCTAGCTCGGGCCCCAGGGGACTGTACTAGGGGACGAGGCCTCGAGGAGATGACGAGGGGAAAACGCGGGCCCAGGGTGGGGCCCTGATCTGAGGGGATCAGGGTCCTCGCTCTCCCCACCACCTGAGGACGTGGACAGAGGTGGCCCTTCCCTGAGCCCCAGGGTCAGCTTGGAGCCCACGGCAGCCTCTGGCCTGAGTGAAAGCAAGTTCCTGCGGCGCACACACCCCTCAGGTGGCGCCTCCCGGCGGCACCTGCCCTGCAGCGCGAGCCGACCGGCCGGGGCACCACACGGGGCAGCCCGGCGGTCACCAGCCAGGATGCAGGAGGACAGGCACGCCCCGGGACAGCACTCGGAGGCCAGCTCGACCTGCGCAACTGGAGGCCACACCGGGGTCCCTCAGACCTGGAGCTCTTGGTGTGCTCCCAGGAAGTCTGCTCGAGGACGACGCGCTGTGGCTGCAAAGCTATGTCCACCTGGCCTGGGGCACCCGGACGTGGCGAGCCAAACCCAGGCTGCAGGAACCCGAGGGCACTGTGGGACCAGGAAATGGTGGAGCAGGTGGCGCCGGGCAGAGCCTTGGCAGGAGGCACCCCTGCTGCCGGCTGGCCTACTCCAAGTCCAGGACCTGGCCTCTGGGACAGCACCAGGCCACGCGGGGGCGGAGGGGTCCCAGCCCCACGGCTGCCGAGGGCAGGCGAGTCCGCGGCATCGTTAGGCTTTGGGATGTTCACCAGTTACGTGTTCTTGGCACACGTGCCGTCACACTAAACGATATCCATTAAAAGTAAAAACGGGGCCAAGGCCATGGTGGGCGTGGGCACTTCCCTCCACTGGTCCTCAAGTAGCTCCACCTGGCCTTCTGAGTGTCAGGGTTCGGCTGTGCTCGGGTGGAAACTCAATCCCCATGGCCAGACCTTGATGCACTCAGAGGTGACCAGGGTGGGGGCCCCTGGCCCTGGTGCTCCGTGAGAGGTGAAGAGACCTCAGTGGACACACTCGCTGCCCTCGAATGCTCTCCAGGGTGCAGTGTGACAGAGGCCTTGCCAGACGCCACACCCTGCTCTGGTCTATGAAAAGTCCACCTCCAGTCTGATCTGTGAGCCTCGGGTCTGTGGGCGCGCCTGTGGGGGGGTGGTACTGGCACTGGACCCAGTGGCGCTCTGCCACTGAGCTCACCCCAGCCCTTCTGACTGTAGACGGGGTCTCAGTGTGTGGCTGAGCCTGGCCTTGATCTTGTGCCTTCCTGCCCTGGCCTCCAGGGTCGCTGGGGTCTCAGGAGTGGGTGCTGCGCCTGGGAGCACGTCACGTGTTAAAAGAAACAAGGGTTCCCAGCTCCCTGCAGGCGCCAGCAGCTGCCCTCAACTCCCCACTCAGACAGGCGCTGCCCATGGCAGGATCAAGGTCAGCGGGGCTCCACCGAGAGCCACAGGCACAGACACTGCTGCCCAGTCCACCCTGACAGAGGAGCCGAATGCAGAGAGCTGGGAGGACTTCCCTCAAGGCTGGAGAGGAGAGTCCAGGCCCACTCGCCTGAGGCTGAGGAGGCCCAGCACTGGGACTCCTCTGGAGAAGGCAAAGGCACGAGGGTCCACCCACGCACACATGTCCTGCCAGGCTGGGCGGCAGCATGGCCTTGGAACTCTCCTCCTGGACGCTGGGTGTGGTTTAAGAGATGCACATGGGGGCCAAGAGGAAAGGGGCAGCTAGGCTGGGCCACAGCCTCAGCTGTTTCTGTGATGGTGACAAGGGATGGGACTGACATCCAAACTGTGGACCTGATTGATTGGTTGGTTGATTTTTGGTCTGGGGATCGAACCCAGGGGGTGCTTAACCACTGAGCCACAGCCCCAGACCTTTTAATAAGTATTTTATTTAAGCCGGGCACGGTGGTGCACACCTGTGATCCCAGCTGCTTGGGAGGCCCAGGCAGGAAGACTGCAAGTTCAAAGCCAGCCTCAGAATTTTAGCGAGGCCCTAAGCTACTCAGTGAGATCCTGCCTCTAAATCAAGTACAAAGAGGGCCTGGCTTCATCTGTGGACCTTGAGTGGAGCCAGTGGCCCTCCCTAAGATGGACGGGCCTCATCTACTCAGGTGAAGGCCTGAACAGAACTGAGAGGGATCTGGGCAGCCCCCTGGTGTTAACGTGACCTACAGTCCTGGCTCCTTCCCAGTCCTGGGCTGCCCGACCACCCGCCAGCCCCCCTGCTGCAACGCGGGACTTCCTCTCCCCCGTCACAAGTGAGCCAGCTCCTTCCGACTTGCCTTCCCCTCTGCACAGTCTGGACTGCTTCTCGGGCATACCCTGACGGACTCAGGGGCTCTCAGGACAGTCCAGGGTGTGCCCAGCCCTCCCTCTCTAGCTCCCCAGTGACGAACTCCACGGGAGGTATTGCAGAGCCACAGATTCCAGCGGGCAGAACTGAGGGGGCCCCTGGGGTGTTGACCCACACCTGGGACACCGCCGGGAATCACAGTGACAGTAGGCATCCCTCACTTTAAAAATACACCCTTAGCTGGGCACGGTGGCGCAATGCCTGTCATCCCAGCAGCTCACGAGCCTGAGGCAGGAGGATGGCAGGTTCGAAGCCAGCCTGGGCAACCTAGCGAGGTCACTTAGGGAGACCCTGTTTCAAGTAGAGTGAGGGATGTGGCTCAGTGGTCAAGTGCCCCTGAGTTCAGTCCCCCCACCAATATGTAGAAACTTTATTCTGCAATAACTTAAGGACTGTATATTCAAAAGGTGACAGGGACAGTTCCCATGTTCACGCTGCCTGCACTACTGCTGCCCCAAGCTCATGCTGCCCGCCTGCTGCCTGCTGGCCTGTCCAGGCTGACGGCGGAGGCTCATGTTCACCAGTGCCCCTCGCTTTCCTCGACAGACTGCTTATCTGAGGTCAGTGTTAGTGGGGACCCGAGGCCACGGCAGAGTTCCCACAGGCCCCTTGCCGGGCCCCTGCGGCCTGCCCTGTCAGCATGGGGTGACCGCAGTCCACACCATTCACCATTCCTCACCTGCATTCCCACCTAGATGCTGCCGGGACCCCATGTGACATTTAGTCACCTCACGCACGCGGGCATCTCCCTGGATGACCGACAGTGCTGAGGAGGTCTCCGGGGTCTCGGGGGCTGGGGGTTGTGCATCCTGGGTCCTGACCTGGTAAGCACCTTTCTTAGGCCACGTTCCCCCGAGGGCTGTGGCTGCTCAATCCCAGAGAGCCTCACACCTGGCATAACTCACTGGAAGGTCCCCTCAGTGCAGGTGGCCCTGGACACGGCCAGAGTCCCCCTGGCTCTACAGGCTGAGACGCAGGGAGTGATGAGACCTGAGCACACCCCCCCCCCCATGGGGACACACTGCCTGCGCGCCATGCAGACCAGTCACACTGTCCAACGTGGGTGATGCCCGGAAGGGGACAGTCCTGTTCCTGACCTGGCAGCATGTGAACAGAGAGGGACAGATGTGTGTGGAGCTTTCTGGGGACAGACCCCAACCCCAGGCTGCCACCTGGAGGAGACGAGTCCAGGTGGGCTGGAGGGCCTCTGTCGGGGTTCTGGACCCAGCTGGCCGGACTCCTCCAATACCTCGTCGTGCAGTGGACAGGCTGCTTGTGGTGGATCGCGCTCCGGCTGGGGCAGAGGGCTGGGGACGCATG